GACCAAAAGAGGCAATCAGTTGACATGTGTAACTATATTCTTTCACCCCGTCAACAGCCACAGTGAAACCCATCACTTTGGTCAGCCTTAGGTCTGTGCAACAATAGCTGATATATCCATAATTTGCTTCTAAATTTCACATCTGTCTTGTTGCATCACTCCAGGGCCTCCAGTCTGTAACACAGAATTAATTCACTTATGATCCCTCCTTGGAAGGCAGGTTTAGTTCTGATTCCTTAAGTAATGCAGGAAAGACATAAAACTGTAAAAAGCATCAACACTGGGAGACAGTTTTTGTGCTACTTGTGCTGTTTTGTGCTATTTCAAGCATTTTCTTTAAAAGTTTTGTTTTGGTTTTTACAGCACAGAATTAAAACTCTGTTCATTATTGGGAACCACAAGGCTTTTTTACCTCAACATTTTCCATTGCTTCAGATATTCTCATTTTCAAATCTGCCGAAGAGTCATGACAGTGGTGTTTAAGATCTCTCACAACTACATCAAAGTGATTGCCCTTCAGCTGACCAAGTCTCAGGTGCTGGCATGCTGAATGTACATTGTGTATTCTGATACCCTTTTTTTCCATTTTGCTTCCAATTTCTTTCAACCTGCATAAATAATTGGGAGAAATAATGAACCACCCCTACTAAAGCTATCCAACTTCTAATAAATGTCTTCTTTGCCTTTGTACTAGAATTAAAAACACTTAGGAAAAAGGGGGATTTAAAGCAGATTATTATGAGAAAAACAAAATCAGAGATAGAAGTCTTAAATTTTATAGTCCAGAAATACTTTCTCAATGCTTGCTTCATTTGCATTTACAGCCTGTAGCTTGACAGATATTAGAATCAAGCAATTCACTGAATTTTCTCAAGGCAACTGCATGGAATTTTGCACTTTTTATTGAAAAAAACAAATAATTTACTCTTCAGTTTAAAAATCTGCTCTTAATAAAAAAAAAACAAAAACAAAAACAAAAACAAAAAAGAGAAAGAAAAAAAGTAATGTGCTCTTGCAGACTCCAAAATACAATTGCTCTTTCTTGGTCAGCCTTAACAAAAAACTCAGTGCACCAATTCTCTGAGTGTGCTTTCAATTGGAACATAGCTGACAGTCAAGTATTTGCCCTTTAAAGTATCCACTCAATCTCTTTGTTCTTATGTATAAGTAACAGTCATTCAAATCAAAGGAAACTTTCAGCATAAGAACTTATATTCTAACCAATATTTTAATAACGTTAAAAACTATTTATTTATAAATGTTATTTCTTTTCCCCATTATGCTTGTGGCTTGGAAGCATTTAACTATTTTGCTTGATCATTCAAACATTAATGTAAAGTTTTGTTAATTATCTCTTGAACAACTGGCCTTATTGCTTAGGAAATGCAGTTGAAATTTACTATTGATATATATTTCTGTCAGTAATAAATCCTAGAAACATACATTCTACTTTCCTTTATTTGTAAAGTCTACTTCGTTACTAAGACCAAAACCCACCAGAAAGTTAATGCTTGGGAAGAAATAAGTTATGGTTTTTCCTCAAACAATTCTTTACAGTTACTATGGCAGAACTTAATACACAGATATATTTATCCACTGAACCGGCTACAGAGAATAACAAAATGAGAAATGGAAAGTCACATCCTGTATTATTGACACATTATTCAAAATGTATTTCCTGCCCTCAGGTTTGGTGATAGCTTCTTCATTTAATCTCATGTTTCTAAACTGGACGATATCATAGAAGTTCATACTTAACACTCAGAGACAGTATCTGTCCAAAGTATAATGATTTTCTTTGGTTTTGTACCTGTATAAAGCTTTTAAGTTGTTGAATGTGGACCGCAAGACAATACTTTGCCAGTACATGGAAACCTGTCACATCATGTACTACTGGCTTTTTCTCACTTCCAGATAGTGGATGGTATTCAAGAAACTGAAAAGTGGATCCCATAAGCATGAACTGGAAGGATACTGTACCAGATGATATGAAATATTTGTATTATGAAAAATACAAAGAAGGGCAAGACTTTTCTTCAAATGCCAACACTGGAGACTTCAGCACTAAGCTGTATATTCACTAAAGCCACAAAATATTAAAGCCATTTCCACTGTGCTGTAACACATGAGAAGACACATCCATAAGAACATTTCAGAAGATTGTACCATGTTAATACTTATTAACATATAAAAATAAGTGCTAAACTGAATGCACTCAGACTGTAAGTACCTCTCAGGTGTCACCTTCTTCACAACCATAGGTTGGTAAGTAATCGCCTTCTTATCTTTGATGCCAGTATAACTGAAGTCTGAAGGAAGAACACCAAGTTCAGCAGCCAAGAAGCTGATTGCTTCCAGTGTTTCAAGGTTTTCTTTCTGAAGAGTGAACGCTGAAACAACCATATCAGAACTATTAGGAATATGCACTTGTAAATCATACAGGTGTCCTGCCATGACAGATGGGCAGGTTCTTCTCTTCAAACTGTAATAGCATGGAAACTGCAAAGACAGAGTCCTCCCACTCCACAACACTAAAGGAAATGGAATTTTTTCATTATTGAAAGAAAAATACAAAATACACAAAACTCTTTAACAACAACCAGAAACCTCTGCTGCCTTTAAAACTTAAACAGGGGAAGTTTAGATTGGATATAAGGAGGAAATTCTTTCCTGTTAAGAGTGGTGAGGCACTGGAATAGGTTGCCCAGGGAGGCTGTGAATGCTCCATCCCTGGCAGTGTTCAAGGCCTGGCTGGACGAAGCCTTGGGTGAGATGGTTTAGTGTGAGGTGTCCCTGCCCATGGCAGGGGGGTTGGAACTAGATGATCTTAAGGTCCTTTCCAACCCTAACTATTCTATGATCCTATGAAAAATAGTACCTGATAAACACCATTCAACAAACATGCATTGAGCTAGAAACACTGTCTATCAGAAATCAATTGCTTTAAGGAATAAGACCATAAATCAGTTTTGACCTTACTAACTAGTCCAACTTCTAGGTGCATCTTCTAAAATCCCACAATTACTTTCAAGGGAAATCTAGCACATGGGGAATAACACAGAGTTAGTACTACAGTACTAATGAAAAAAATGTAACCGTTATCACTGAACAGTTTGTGTTAACATCACTGCAGTAACTCGATTCATTCATCTCATTCTCCAGTGATGTAACTACATTGCATTAATAATGATTTATTTCAGCATAAACAATGGCTCAACCAGGCCTAGATGTCACATAAAAGTGACTGAGTTTCAGTCTGTACTAAAGAACACCACAATACCTGACACTTTCACTAAAAATGTAACATTTACCTGTATAAAGATCTTGTTTTTCCTTGAAGCCACCAGCAGACCTTTTTCTGGACCAACTTTTTTCTCGAAAACGCACCATAATTGACATATTTGGCTGATCATTGACATCTGACACAGTAAAAGACTTTGTTTCTAAAAGCTTTCCAAACTTTCTATTGATAAAGTGGTGAACTACTTTTCTGTGCTCTTTGTCCGCATCAGGCTCAAAAGAAAACGTAGAATTTTCTAGCTTTGCATCTAAAAACTTAAAGAAATCACTCGTTTCCTTTTCAGTCACGAGCTGACAAAGTTCTCTGTACTCTCCATTCCCTTTCACAATCATTTCATTGCCTTTCGTAACAGTGACCAGAAAGGGGAATTTCTGCCTGACAGCACTGTGTAGGCTAGCTCGACTTTTCTTGTCCAGTACAGGTCCCAGCGAAAACTCTCCAGCGCCACCGCCGGCATCCCTGTCCCGGTCCCATGTGTCCTTCAGACCACAGACAAACTGATGAAGCCGCTCACACATGGGTTTCCCTAGTAAGGAATCCAGTATATGGTCTTCCCCAAGGTCCGGTTTCAGTTCAGGTTCACCCTCGCGCTGCTTTTTGTTAGGGGATGCTGAACAGTCGCCTCCTACCCTGCTTGTGTCCTGCTCCGAAGGACTGGGCACGGCACCGGGACAGCCCTCGGCACACAGGCCGGGGGACTCCGAGCTCAGCTCATTGGGCTGCTGCGGGTCTGGGGTACTTTGCTCTAGCGGCGCTTCGGCGGCTTTCTGAAGCGATTCAGCCCCAGTACCCCTCAGTAAGTGTTGGGGCACCTCGATTTCTGTCACTATGAAATCGCTGGGCGAGTTTTTGATCGTACCACAGAAGCCGATGTGGTCAGTCACGTAACTGAAGGACGGAAGCATGGCTGCCCTGCCTTCCCCTGCTCACAGACACACACCGCCACGCCTGCAACCGGAGACAGCGAGGAAAGGCGGGGGCGATAAAAGAATTTCAGCTTACTACCGTTTTCGGTGCCTGAAAGGCCGGCGGGCAGACGGAGGTGAGGAGGGCAGGAAGAGCAGCCCGACGGCCCCTGACGGCCCCTGACGGCCCCTGACGGCCCCTGACGGCCACTGACGGCCCCTGACGGCCACTGACGGCCGCTTCAACGACACCACCACCCGCAACCGTCTCCCGCGCCGCCAGAAGGCGCCACGACCTCCCGCCCCCTCGCTAAGGGCCCGAGGACGGTACCAACTTCTCCAGGAACGCGGGGAAAAAGAGAAAGGGACTTTCCCCCCCCTCCCCCGACCAGCCATGGGGCGTCCCGGAGGGGGCGGGGCATCCCCAGGCAGTCTATGGGAGAGCGGCGTGGGAAGGGAGCACTTCCGCTTTCTGCTCGGCGAGCCCGTGTCCCCGTCCCGGTGACGCGACCGCCGTCAGAGGCCGCGTCACTCTCTCTTAAAGGGGAAGCGAGGAGGGGGAGCGCCTGCCGGGACGAGGAGGCGCCGCCGCCAGGAAACGACGGGGATCGGCGGGCTGAGGCGAGGTGAGGTGAGGCGGGGCAGGGCATCTCGACTCCCGCCGCCGGTTGTGGGCGGGGCCGCTCGCCTACCGGGGGCAGGCCTCAGGGGGCGGCCGGAACCGGCTGGCCTTGAGGAGAAGAAAGGGGCGAGGGCGGTGGGCCGTGGGTCGCGGGTCGCCGGTCGCCGTAGCCGCGATGTTGGGTCTGAGGCCTGCTCGGCTTCCCGCGGCCCCGGCGAACCTGTTCTCTAACGGTGCCGCTCGTGTTCCGTAGGAGCTGAAGATGAGCACGCCGGTGACGATGTCAACGTACGTCCGGTGCCTCAGCTACGGGCTCCTGAGGCAGCTGGCAGACTTCATCGACCCGCAGGAAGGGTGGAAGAAGTTAGCAGTAGATATAACCAACCCGACCGGTGAAAGCAGATACAACCAAATGCACATAAGGTCCTATATGGGTGTCATGTAACGTAATCTTATTAACTGTTAAGCGCTGTTGTCCATCCTGTTACTGTAACTTGCAGTTTGTGTGCCAGTAGGTACTTACACATTACAGTGCCACTGCCTTAGGGAACTCAAGGTAATTACTTGTAATTGTTCTGTTAGTTCAGTTTTCAGACAAGCTATAGCCAAAGAAAACTGAGTAAGGAAATTAGAATTAGTCACAGGCATAAGTATTTTTAGCAGTACATTAGCTGTATGACCCGGGCTAGCTTCCATACCACAGCACGTCATGCCCGGGGTGAGGGGTAACTGGGAGTGACCCGGAAGGACAGGGGTTTCCGGGTGGAGCTCGTTTCTCTTGGCCGGTGGTATCGTATTCTCTTCTGTACAGACTGAAAACCATTGACTTCACTGTGCATCTTCACACAAGAGCAGCACAGGACACAACTGGACTGTAACTCCTCATTCCCCAAGAGAATGTCCAGCAAATGTGGGTAACCCAAGGCCTAAAAGTCACAAGTTTTATTGAGAAGTAATGCCAGCAATAGTTTATGAACAGCTTGAAGGGCTTGGTGAATCCTTAAGATGTCTCAAAGGTTATGAGGTTTTTGGATACCCTATGTATCATCTTGAGTTTCCAGTCTGGTGGTTTAACCCCAGCTGGCAGGGCAGTCTTTCTAGTGATGTTAGCAATAAGTCTTCATTTGCCTTTCTGTAATGACACTAAGTCAGTCAGAATACTGGACTTCAATTTCTGCGTAATGTACATCCCAAACCATTCAGAATGAATTGTGAATGTCAAATGGGTGGGAAAAACAATTTCATTCCATTTGATTGGGCTCTGACTTGCCCTGTGTCTGTTGCTGACATTCTCTTCTCTGTTAGTTCCATGTGCCAAAATATTATGGGTCCTGGGCAATATGTTGAAGCCATGTATGCATATTTTTTCCCTTTGTTTTTCCCGAATTTTGCATTATTTTTCCACTGAGTTTCATTTTTTTAATTACTTTTAGATGCATTTTCAGAAGATCTGCAAATAGTTGTACAGTTCAGTATATTCAGAATTTTGGGGGCTTTGCTTGTGGGTTTTTTTGTTGTTGTCATTTACCTTTACTCTCTTTCCCTTCTTCATAATTCTTGAGATTTTTTTTTATTTTTTTTTTTTATTTTTAAATGTTGGTCTTAATTTATCTTTTCAGGAGATTTGAGGCATTTGTCCAAATGGGAAAGAGCCCCACATGTGAATTGCTTTATGACTGGGGAACCACAAACTGTACAGTTGCTGATCTTGTGGACCTGCTGATTAGGAATCAATTCCTAGCACCAGCAAGCCTTTTGCTTCCAGGTAACTGTTAACTCTTGTACAGTTTGCACTGTGTTCTCAGCTTTCTGAGGTGCTAAAAAGCTTCCCAGCAGCATGAAAATGAGAAAGGATTAGGTCAAAATAACCAAAAGTGGATATATTTTCCATTATTTGTAATAACAGTTTAAATAAGAGTTACAAGTTTAAGTGAGAATCCTGCAGTTTAGACATGGTGGCAGAATATAACCTTCTCATGATGTTTATGTGTCACCTAACCTTAGTAAATGCTGGCATTAATATTACTTGTTTTATCTGATTCCTAATGTAGTTAACATGTTTTCTAAATTCCATTTTCAGAAGCTGTAAGGATGGCACAAGAAGTTACATTACCTCTTTCTTCACAGGAAACATTGCCTATACATGAGAAACAACTGCCTGTACAGGAAAAAGAAGTGGCTTCTATACAACCTGTTTTAGCTCAGAGTACTGAGAAGCAACATTCAGCTCCTTTTTTCAGTGAAGAAAACAGCAGCCCACAGTCCAGTAACACAGGTAGGTACTTAGTTTGGTAGAATTAAGTACAATCTTTTTTTCTGATCTGTCCTTAACCCCACATAAAATAAATCCTAGCAGTGTATTAATGGCTATATTCCTATTGTCCTGCATGTTATAGGAAACAGCATCTTCCTTTTGCTTCTGTTCTGTGTGCCTGTGAATTTAGCTTGAGTAATAAGATGTCCAAGAGGCACCTTGCTGACAAGGCAGCTACTGTGATGAAAACTTGACTGTTAACTAAATCACAGTTTATTTTGTGCTACATATAATCCTCTTGCCCTTTTTAAATACTGATTTTATGGACTGTTTAGCATCTGGCATGTTAAAGCTGGATTTTATATGTCAGAAATGACTAAGAATGTTGAAGAAAAGGTGACTAAAGAAAGCATCCTAGGAAAGTGTATGGTTGGTGTACTCCTTCCTAAAGGTCCACTTTGGTGTTGCTGCGCAAAGCATGATGTGGTCTAGATACTATTTTTACATCTGACACAGTGTGGCTCTCCTTTTTTTTTTAATTCTTATCTTCTGCACTATCATCTATATTATGAATATTATCAAAAACTATTAGCAGAAGGCTGCTTCAGTGCTAATTGTGAAGAAAATTATGCATATCTATTTGCACATATCACATACATTTATAAGTTAATTTGTTTTTCTGGTATCTTCATCACAAGGGATTTATGTGGCAGCAAGTTTGTGGTTTAGTAGAACTGAAGCAGAAAATCTATTCAATGTATTTGTTTCTTAAGTGAAAAACATAGCTCTGTGCTAAATGGTAAATGTGTCTTTCAGGCTTCCTTAATTTTTCATTTCATGATTTGGAAAGTGTTACAAATAATTTTGATGCACGACCAGAATCAGCTGGAGGCAATAAACTGGGAGAAGGTGGCTTTGGTGTTGTGTTCAAAGGCTACATCAACGGCAGAAATGTGGCTGTCAAGAAGCTCATTGCTGTGAGTTGTCCTGGGCATTTTTCCTTTTAATGACTATGTACTTTATAGCATAGACTTGTTTATCTGTTTATCTGATATACTTCAAAAAGCATCACCAAGTTAAACATCAGTTGAGCTGAGAACATTATCCGGTTAGTCCCATGAGCGGTGTGAGTCGGCACAGTCACCAGAGATGAAGTCTTGCCTTTTCTGTAGCTCTCCTTTCAGTGGTTCAGACAAGCTGTCTGGAAGAGCAGAGCACCCCATCTCTTCCCCTCCCTCTCTCCCGTGCACCCAGGAAGTGGCAGAAGGACAGGAGTGCTAGGGAGGTTTCCCCTTCAGAATCAGATTAGCAACTCACAAGCTAAATAGTTATTGCCACAGAATTTGAATCTTTATAACTAGTGGTTTGTTTTAATAATTAATTGTGCAGTAAGTGCTGCTAGTGGGTGACTGCAGTGAAATGGGTAAGTTTGTGACTGTGCTGAAATTGAATCCATTTGTCCATTAATAATGCTTTCCAAGGAATTAAAAATCATGTTCTGATACCTTGAGTTGAGTAAAAAAATATTGTGAACAGTTAAGTAGTTATTACATGTAACTAATCTAAAGAAGGGCTTATAATTCTGTTTTTTTTTTTAATGGACAACTGCAGATGGCCAGCAATATTAACATCAAATACTTCCTTTTGTAGATGGTTGATGTTAGTGCTCAGGACTTAAAACAGCAATTTGATCAAGAAATAAAATTGATGGCAAAGTGAGTACAGTCTTACACAATGTCATTATAGCCTTTTGTTGGAATCTGAATTGGCAGATAACACATTGGCTAATGTGATCCCTTATTTTTGTCTTTCTAGCATAACTTAATGATTTTCATGTTAAGTGAGAATGTTTCATATACAGCATGGCTGTATTTCTTTTTTTCTTTTTAAATGATACCCCTGCAGAAACCTAGCTATGTGCAGTAGTGATGGAACAAGTAATTGGGGATTGAGTTCCCTCTGCTTTCTATTTTCCTCAAATATTGGAAGTCTTTCAGAGCATATGCGAATAGAATTTTTTTGCTGCAGGTGTCAGCATGAAAATCTGGTGGAATTACTTGGTTTCTCAAGTGATGGTGCTCAGCCATGTCTGGTGTACGAATACATGCCCAACGGTTCCTTGCTTGACCGACTTGCTTGCCTGGTAAGTAAAATGTTTTTGAGCTTCCAGTTGTTGTCCTTTGCTGAAGAATAGATATCTATGAAATGGCTTTGAAACTGCAACAAACCGTAATGGCCAAATGATGTCTCACTACTTACTTCTGTGCTCTGTAAGACAAATATGATGACAAGTATTCTTCCAGTAATATTTTATACAAATGTTTTAGACACGTCAAAGCAGGCTGATAATACAATGTCATGCGCCAGTACCTGAAGTGGCACAGGAGCTTGGACTTGTTATGCTTTTGTGAAGCAGAGCAAAGTGTGCTGCAGTATTGTTCCTGGTTCTGACATTTCCGTGGTGTCTGCTAGTTCCTGAGATTCTGCATTGTGCAATTGCCCTTTGTTCAATGCCCTTGTGATAACAGTTTTAACACAATGTTCACAGTCTGCATATCTCTTTCTGAAGTGCCTAAATAAATGGGAAATATGTTTGGTTTTTTTTTTAGTTAGCACTTTGTATAAATGCAATGCTTGCTTCTGATTTAATCTAATGATGTATCTTCTAGCCTTGGCCTTTCATAAATAATAAGTTGCTTTGTTTTTGGTGAGGCAAGTCTGTGTATGAAGAACAGAGTGATACCAGTAGTAAGCCAGACTTAACCTAATAGATGAATGACCATCTTAGTTTGTTGAAGGAATTAAAAAATCTACTTTATACTAAGCAAATGCATCTTCTGAAGTTGTGATCTGGTGAAGATTTTAAACTGATGCTACTTCAAGCCCCATACTCCCAAACCTTAAACATGTGATGTTGCTTTTTTTTTTTTTTTGCACTGGTCTTCCTGTTGTACACCCTCAGGTATATTTAGTAGTTGGGTTAGGAAACTAATCAGGCTGAAAATACACTCTGGAAAAAAAATCTTTAGGTTTCACTCAGAGACATTTCCTCTGCAGGGTCACACAAATACTTCTGCCCCAACAGGACAGGAGTGATTTTAGAATGAGTAGCAGTGGTTGTGGATTTGTTTGTTAGCGCTGCTGTCTCAGGTTGGTTTGATTGATTTGTTTGCAAATGACATGTATGATTTATTTTTTTAAACTGAACTAGTGCAAAAGAGAGACAAAGTTTTACTTAAGGCACTGCAAGTTTATCTATAGGAATGAGCAGCGCTTAACAAGGATGTCTAGAAAAATGTTCATTCACGTAACTTTGCCAGTTAGCATCAAGTGAGATTAAAAGATTGGTCGTAATTGAAAGCTAAAGTAGAAATAACTGAGCCCTTTACAAGGAAGAGACAAACTTTCTGTATATATTACAAAGACTCTAAGTCAGAATCAATAAATCAGAATCTTCTGATAAATTGAATATGTGAGGAATGTGCATACTGAAGGTGTGTCCTTGCTGGTAACTTCATTTTGTGACTTGACATGTTTGAGGCACGGACTCTTGCGTATGTCATCTTTTTGTTATCTGGACTTTAAGGAGCTAGCAAGGGAGGTGGTAGAATGGTGAGATACTCTAATGGTCTTGGCCACTGACAAGATTAAGAGATGGTTTTGAAATGTAGGTGTCCTCATTCCCAAGGTTTAGTTAGTAACATGAATTGAACTAAACTCATGATGTAGTGAATCTGAAATGACTGGAAGATTAGCTCCTCACAGTTAGTAAAAACTCTTGATGGCTTTGTATTATTTACGTTGGGTTAAAGGCTCTGATACTGGTGCTGGTATAATGTGGAAGATGTGGTAGATACAGAGAGTTCTTGTACAGAACAAGATAGATACAGAGAGTTCTTCTACAGCAGCTGGCCTTTGTAGGGCCTTTGTAAGAGTTGACTCTTATCAAGAACACTGCAATGGGTGAGTTAGGCAAAATGCAGGGGGAAGAACTGAATGTGACAAATGCATGTATTTCTGCCCGAGTGAAGAAATGTATGGTATTAGTCTTTTTAACAATTTACTTGAAAACTACAAAGCATAGCAAGAAGTGGATTTTGGATTGTGAGGTTTTTTTTATGGTTTGGTTTGGTTTATATATGTATTACATTTTCACCTTTCTACTTGCCTTTCTCTCTTCTTGTTAAAGGATGACACTCCACCAATTTCTTGGAATACAAGGTGTAAAATTGTTCAAGGTACAGCAAATGGCATCAACTTTTTGCATGAAAATAATCATATTCACAGAGATATTAAAAGGTAAAAGCCACTGATTATCTCTGGCTGTGTTTTCCCCCTTCTTTTATTTTTTTTCTTCTTCCACCTGTTAAAATCATTTTAGAGAGAATAAACTGCAACAAGCATTGCTTCAGCCAAGGGCACAGTCTTCTCTGCAAGTGACATCCATCACCATAATCTTGTCTGTGCCACAAGGACATGACCAGTACGGATTTCTAAAGAGAATTACGAAGCTATTAGAATCATAGAATTGTTCAGGTTGGAAAAGGCCTTTAAGATCAAGTCCAACTGTTAACCTAGTGCTGCCAAGTCCACCACTAAACCATGCTGCTAAGTACCGCATCGACAGGTCTTTTAAATACCTCCAGGGATGATGACTGAGGCACTTCCCTGTTCAGCCTGTTCTAGTGATTGACAACCCTTTCAGTGAAGAAATTTTTCATAATATCCAATCTAAACCTCCCCTGGTGCAACTTGAGGCTCTTTCATCTTGTCCCATTGTTTGTTCCCTGGTAGAAGAGGCTGACACCTCCTCCTGCCCCACTACAACCTCTTTTCAGATAGTTATAGAGAGTGGTAAGGTCCCCTCTGAGCCTCCTTTTCTCCAGGCAGAACAACCCCAGTTCCCTCAGCCGTTCCTCATCAGTCTTATTCTCCAGACCTTTCACCCCCTTTGTTGCCCTTCTCTGGACCCTCTCCAGCACCTCAATGTCTTTTACTGAACACAGTATTCTAGATGCGGCCTCACAAGTGCCGAGTACAGGGGGATGATCACTGCCCTGGCCCTGCTGGCCACACTATTTCTTGCCTGCCTGAGCGCAAGCTGGCTCATGTTCAGCCAGCTGTCGACCAACACATCCAGGTCCTTTTCTGCTGGGCAGCTTTCTGCCATAAAATTTCCTATTATAATTTGGATTGTAAATGTAACTTGTAAAATTTAATGTAAACTTTAATTTGTATTGCAGTCTGTTACTATCAAATAGTTGAGTGCTGCAAGAGCACCCAGGTGTTCTGTTCTTTCACAGCTACTGCTGATGAAAAAGCTGCTATTAGAGAACATAATGACTTTTTAAATGAGGAATTTTTCAGATGAAACCCACCTTTTTCTTTTTTCTAGAACATTTCTTCAGAGTGTCTCCTTTGATTTACTGCTATTTATTATAAAGACAGTAAAATTACTGCAGTCAGGTTATGAAGTTCAGGGTTCTTTAAGGATAATGTTCACTTGTTTGTTACACCAGTTTTTCCTAGAGATAGGAGCTTAAAAGAGGTGGTGGTTTTGTTGTAGAGTTTGGTGGCTTTTTTTTCTTCTTTTTTTTTTTTTCTTCCTTGCTACAGTTGGTTGTATTTTGTTTTTTTTTTAAGTAGCAGGGCAGTCCAAATCTTTGAAGGAAAGCCCCAGATGCATTACTCTTCTGTGGCTTAAGCTGAATGTTTCAATAGCTTTCTGACTTATGGCACCTGCTAAACGTAGGCTCTTTGGTTTTGTGACCTTCCAGCTTGTAAGGAACACATTTTTCTTTTTCAGCCTGCCTCATAGAATGTGCTTGCTGCTTTAACAACTTGTTATCTTTTTTCTTCCCTGCTTAAGCCTCTGGACAAGTGTAATGACTGGAAGGGATGCATTATTTTACCTTGTACTCCTCTACCCTTCTAACTGCTGTGAGTTGATCTTATTACAGGATTGGGTTTTATTTTGTTTTTTTTTATTTTGGATTTCATTTTACAACCTCTTGGATTATGAATAGTTAATAAATTTGGTTGGTGTATGAATAGTGCTGCTGCACCCAGGTGAAACATAGAGGAAGAGACATCTAAGATTAACCTCAGTCTTCATTTTGCTGTGATGTGTGGAGACAATTCGTAACCACATAGGCACTAGAACAGCTTCTGTGTAGGCTAGAGGGGACAAGATTGACTGGGTGTTCTCAGAGTTGTCCATAGTTTTTTGGCTTGGTTATGCCCAGGAAGTAGTTAATTTCTCTCTTGAAGCTTGATGGTTGCAGTAAAACTTGCTTCTATTGTGCTCTTCGTGGTGAATCAAAAGTGGCCACTCTTAAGTTGATAAGAAGCTCATATATATGAAGTTGTCATCCTGTCCTTCCTTCTTTTCAGGGCTGAGCTTTAAATATGAAACCAGATGGGGGATGATGCCTTGACCAGTGTTCAGCCCTTTGCAGTGGCCTTTTATTAAACTATTTAGAGCAGTTCTAACACCAAGTGATCTCTTGTAACTGACAGCTATGTTAATTTTGAGAAGGTTTGGAGAACAAGAAAGGGAAGTTAGACATGCAAGTTTCTAGTAAGTGTTAATATGCTGTGTTTGGCTATATGGTTTTCTTATGGTTCCATTAAGGGAGTCAGAAAGTGAGGATTACAGAAGTGTTAAATCGAGTGATTTTTAAAATGGTCCCAAGTGCCAGAAGTTTAACAAAACAGTAGAAGATTTATGCTGTAGTTCAACCCAGTGAGTATTTTATGAAAGCATTAAGGTCTGCTGGATGAGCCTCATTTTTCAGGGTTTTTTTTAAGAAAAGTAAAAGCTGGAGATCAAGTGCAAACACAGCACATGTATTATTCCAGCATTAATAAGTTATCTGTTTCTCTTCCAAGAAAAGAATTAAGAGTATTAGTATTCATTTAGTACATGAATTTGGAATGGTTGACGTAGTACTAGATAATAGGTATAAAAACCTGCTTTTGTTAGTTCTGAGTAGAGATTTAGACAGTTAAGAATTGTACTGTGATCCAGTACCAGTTGATCAAAGCAAGTATTCTCTATTATCCTTCTTAAAGAAAGAGTGTTCAGATGCAAAACAGGGGTGTAACATAATTGGTGTCTTATAAGGAACTTCTTATATTTGTAGGATTTGTGGTTAGAGGGGGTGTTTGGTTTTTTCCCGTATGGGTTTTAATTTTTTCCCCCCTTTTGTGTTTGTTTTTGCATGCACAAAAAAAAAAAGGATGGTTCTTGGCAGCCAGTGCTTGATTTATTTAGAGCAATTAATTTTGAAATGGAGCAATTTCCAACAAAACTAATCCTTATATTTTCTTTCGTTGTTATATGGATAACGTATCTTAGATTTCAGGAAACAGTTACTAAAGAGTTATTAGTCTATCATAAAACCTAATTACAGTACTGATTTGGAAAATGCTTTTTTCTGTTTTTTTTAATTTTCCCCTTCCCTCTCCCCCAGTGCAAATATCTTATTAACTGATGCGTATATGCCCAAAATTTCTGACTTTGGACTTGCCAGAGCATCTGTAACATTCACACGAACAATCATGACTGAAAGAATTGTTGGAACAGCAGCCTATATGGCACCTGAAGCTCTGCGAGGAGAGATAACACCTAAATCGGATATCTTCAGTTTTGGAGTAGTAAGTGGAATGTGGGAAGCAGTATACAACTTTCTTTTTGGTAAATAATGAAAGCATACAAAATCAAGAATATCTGAAATAAAATAATCTGCTCTGATCTATCACTTTTCTTTGCCCCAATATACATGCTCTTAAAATAGCATTTCTAAACTTTGATGGATTTCAAATAATCTGAGTAAGTTGAATTTGCATGTGAAAGACCAGAGTGAAATAACATTCCAGGTTCTAGCTAAATGTAGTTTAAGGTAATGTGGAACATTGTTTGTTCTTGCATAGTATGGCACAACATTTTAACTCAGTATGGGGGAAAAAAATTGCTGGAAAAGAAAACCATAGAATCATAGAATAGTTAGGGTTGGAAAGGACCTTAAGATCATCTAGTTCCAACCCCCCTGCCATGGGCAGGGACACCTCACACCAAACCATCTCACCCAAGGCTCTGTCCAACCTGGCCTTGAACACCACCAGGGATGGAGCATTCACAACTTCCCTGGGCAACCCATTCCAGTGCCTCACCACCCTAACAGGAAAGAATTTCCTCCTTATATCCAATCTAATCTTCCCCTGTTTAAGTTTTAACACACTACCCCTTGTCCTGTCACCACAGTCCCTAATGAAGAGTCCCTCCCCAGCATCCCTATAGGACCTCTTTAGATACTGGAAGGCTGCTATGAGGTCTCCACGCAGCCTTCTCTTCTCCAGGCTGAACAGCCCCAACTTTCTCAGCCTGTCTTCATACGGGAGGTGCTGCAGTCCCCTGATCATCCTCATGGCCCTTCTCTGGACTTGTTCCAACAGTTCCATGTCCTTTTTATGTTGAGGACACCAGAACTGCACACAATACTCCAGGTGAGGTCTCATGAGAGCAGAATAGAGGGGCAGGATCACCTCCTTTGACCTGCTGGTCACGCTCCTTTTGATGCAGACCAGGATGCGGTTGGCTTTCTCTATCATCCACCAACACCCCCAAGTCCTTCTCCTCTGGGCTGCTCTGAATCTCTTCTCTGCCCAACCTGTAGCTGTGCCTGGGATTGCTCCGACCCAGGTGTAGGACCTTGCATTTGTCATGGTTAAACTTCATAAGTTTGGCATCAGCCCAAACCACCAAACTTGCTGAGGGCGCACTCAGTCCCACTGTCCATGTCACCAACAAAGATGTTGAACAAGATTTGCCTTAAAGCTGCGTACAGAAAAGACATGAGCTTAATATTTGGGAGAACACTGAATACATCACAACTAGATCCAAGACCCTGACTGCTACTGACCTCTTCCTTCATGGCATTTAGTTTTATGGGGAGGTGGGCCAGACACTGTGTCTGAATACTTTGGAAATTCTTCTGTTATGCTCTGAAGAGGTACAACATAGGGTGAGAAGAAGTTGCATTGAAATTCATAAGCAAGACTGCTAATAACAGTTAATGAAAGTAAAGGTAGGAACAACAGCAACAACAGTTGGTTGTGTGGAGAGCTCTCTTTGGACATAGTTCTTGTGAGCATTTGTTTGAAAGAGTGGGGGTCATGCTCCTTTTTCCAAGTGATGTACATGCTCAGGATTATTCTGTGCTTCATTTTCTCCTCTTGACTATTTTTCTCCTAGGTCTTACTAGAAATAATGACGGGTCTTCCTCCAGTGGATGAGAAACGGGAGCCACAGTTACTGGTATGTTCTTTTTTGCTTTCTCTTCCCCTCCCCCTGCTCCAGGATCCCTTTATGTGCAATAATAGTAAGCAGGTTGTGAGACAATCAAGTTAGCCATCAAAATACATAGTTATGAAAATAGCTCTTGTGTCAATGTTTGTCTTAGAGGTGAGGCTGAAACTTTTATCTCTTGGCTGGAAGAAGATTGTTCAGTCCCCAAGGTCATCTCCTGATCTGATATTATAATTCTCTTCATTTTTGTACCGCTTCTTATTGTAATATCATTATGCTTTATCAGTTTACTCCTGTTATACAAAGATATCCTGATAGCTCCTCGTTCACCAGAGCTTTTTAAACTATCCATCTCAGTTGTTTCTTTATAGTTCTCTACCCTTCTTAGCATTCTTGTATCAATTTTCGTTTTCTTCAACTTTACTAATAATTTGCAAATACCTTGTGCTTTTAACCTTAGGGAAGTTTGGAATGTAAGGGCTTTTTTGCAGGGTGAGGGGTGGGTTGGACTTTGTTTTCTTTTTTTACTGTTCAGTTAGTAATTCAGTCCACTAATGAGGAAAGTAATGTCTTGGAGCTCTCTTTAATTGAAAATCTTACCAGGCTATTCTTAATTTAGCCTTTCATTTAGTTTAAGATTAAATTCTCAACTACTTAGTCCAAGAAGTTTTCCTGGAATATTTATTACATAAAGACTTACTTGCCAAGTATGAAATCGCTGAGATTTGGATTGGTTTTGCTGCATGCTGTTTGATAGCAGATCTTTTCACAGCTTTAGGAATACCTGTGTACTGCTAGTAAAGTTTTTTCCTCTAAGCTGTATCTTCTGGGTTGTCATAATACTTATCCAGTTGAGCTCTGTAAAGACCTTGGAGAACAGTCCCTCTCAAACTGAACCTTGAGGTTTTGGGTTGCTTTTGTTTCGAAGCACGTTTTTTCAGAAATGGGGTCTCAAACGGAGCAGAACATAAGATTGGAGTGGTACAGTTTATCCTTGTAATGTACTTTTGGGAGCACAGAGAATGGTCAATGAAAGATGTGGCATCCTTAGCTTTGAAAATTTTGGTGCAGTTGTATGTTAGCAATTTCAGACTGACACATAGAGGAAGGCAGAACTGCCTCTACCATACTAACATGTGCGAGGTATTCCTCAGTCAGTATTTGTGATGACAACACATTTCAAGTGTGTTGGAGCTGGAGAGCTTGGACTAAATGAGTCAGATTTAAAAACTGGTTTAAATCTGGACATGTCCTTTAGAATAGATAAAGCAACCACTGAGACTGGTGACAGAAGGCATTAGTTTACAGAAAGAAGCTTTATAAAGTTGACAAAAAAGTTATTCATACTTAAACTTACATATTTGTGGGTTATTAAGTAAACAGAGATATTTTATGTTGATCTTAAAAAGAGCTTCTCTTAAAAAAGAGACAATACTAGGAAACAGCCTTCAACTGGGAGAAAGATACAGCTGTATGATGCAGCTTCAAGAAAAGTGCTTTACAATTTTGTGCTAACTCAATTAGAAATTATGTATAATAAAAATGTGTAGTTCATTTATAGTCTTAGAGGCTGATAAACAGTTATTCTGCTGAACCAGTGTCATAATTCTTTGTCTAGAAAAGGGGTTGAGAGAAGAAAGGGACACTCAAAAGCAAGCTTTCAAAGTGTTAGTGTGGAATACATAATGTTGGAGTGCTTACAGGCTTGCCTGCTTATTGGTACAAACTCTCTTGCAGTTAGGTATCAAAGATGAAATTGAGGATGAGGAAGCAACTATTGAAGATTATGTTGATGAAAAGATGAGTGACTGGGATGCACCCTCAGTTCATAAAATGTATTCAATTGCTGATCGGTGCCTGAATGAGAAAAAAAACAGAAGGCCAGACATTAAGATGGTATGTACTCTCACAGACCAATGGCTTCTTTTGAGTGTGTGTGTTTACAGTATCAGTTACTTGTATTTCTGTCTGGTCTCTTGCAGGTTCAACAGCATCTACAAGAGATAAACATTTGATAAGTGTTTCTTCTGATACACATAAAAAATTTGTAATAGACACCAGTAGAAAATATTTTATTACTATTTAGTGAACACTATCAGGTTTTCTGCTATCCAGAGCTTCCTGGTCTGCATTTAAGGCGGGCTGTTGGCCTGTCACCAGGTTTTGGCTAACTGAGCAGCCTTTCACATATCCTTAGCCATTGGGCCCTTTTTTGTATTCACAAATTGCAGTGCTGGTTTATCTACTCCACAGCTTTTTAAATGTGTTTTTGTATTAGAATCTATTTGATTGTTTTGATTTACAAATATCAAGTATGTCTGCTGCAAAGGCATATGGCAGTAATAGGTAAATATTTTTTCTACAAACTGCTTCTTTGATCAGGTGTACTATACCTCTTTCTATTGAAGACAAAACCATTTAATAGATATAAATGGTACTTACACTGGGAGAAGAAGCAATAGTAGCACCCACTGAAAACAAACTTTGTCATTTTGACTTGAGAATTGATAGTAGTGCGAGTGGACTGATTGATAACGTTGTGAATGTGATTGTTTTTCAGAATGTCCTCTCAGGATTAGTTTTAGTCAGATAAGTGCTGTGAGATGTATCCTGGATTGTTGTTTTTTTTTTAGTTTCAAGGATTTCCAAGCAAAATAACTGCTGTGCTGTGCAAATGCAAAAATACGTCTGCCTTCCTTCCAGTGAACTCTGTATGATGACAAACCATTTAATTTCTTAGCTGCTTTGAGTATTTTATACTTCAGGGGAGGATTCAATATGGATTATAAATATAGATGGTTAAAGGGGGCAGAATAATAATTCTGTGAAGACCAATCCTGCATTTTGCTTAATCAAATAATTATGTTCTTTTAAAAATATATATATGTATGTATATTAATAACTATTAAAATGCACTTTTTAAAAAGCAACATGGAAAGCTTTCTAAAATAGAAACACCAAAGATCAAAGCAGACTAAAAATGGAATGAAAGTGACTAGGAAGGTTCTAGATACTGAAGCAGGTATGAAACTTCACACTGAGTAGGTATGAAAATACTCCTATTGTGAATGAAGGAGGTTATTTTCATATAACCCCTTTTCTGTGCCTCATGACCTTTTTCTTGACAGCCTAGATGAAGGCTTAGCTTCCAGCTAAATTTGAAATTCCATGATTATCAAAGAAAAAGGAAACACTGAGAAATGACCTGACTGCATACAAAGATATATATATATATATATATATATCTCTTCGTAGAAAGCACGCAAGTCCTAACACATGCATTAATACCATTAGATCTCCGTTAACTGTTTCTGTATTGCCTTTTCAAACTTCTAGGTTTATTTAAACATAAATGGTAAAACCTGTTAGCATAAATAAAACTTCTGCATTACCATGGCAGATGATTATTTCTGCTATTAAAATATTAAGCCTTGGAAACACCAGTTGATTTACATTGCTTGCATTTCTGATAACATTGTGCTAACCTCACTGCATGGAGTAAAACTGCACATCTCTGAACCTGGGCTTGTGGAGAAGAAAACGGCTATAAAGCTATATCAGAGTAAAATCTGCTGAAGCCATTCTCCAGTTTTAAACATCTCCACCTCTTGGGTAAGGGTTTCTTATTAGATCACATCTGCTTTTTACCATTCCCTAGAGCTAGACTGTCATCTGTAGTGTTGTCCTGAAGCATGGTTGCTGAGTAACCTGTCAATGATGTTTACCTCTGGTACAGGACAACAATTTTGGTTATGCATCAGCCATGATGTTCCAAGTATTAAAGGAATCTTAGCTACAAGCACAAGTGCCTGTTCTTGTGTCAGACAGGATCATGACTGCTTGAAGCACTGCTGTCAGTACTGGAGTTTTGGCAGACATTTTTCCCCTCGCTCACTGAAAATGAAGCATGTTAGCTACCATTTCATACAAGGGGGTGAAAAAGGGATTTGAATTTGTTTAGTATTATTCTAGTGAGGAATGAAAATGGGAGGTGTTAGGTAAAGCTAGCTAACTTAGTTATTTGAAATACACAGGGTATGAGAAGAGACTTGCCCTTCCTTCCCCTCTTTCCTCCACTCCCCCCAGTGTTTTTAATGTCTTTCTACAGTAAAGTCAACACCTACGGATGCTAACAGGGGATAGGAGTAGCTGACTTTTGTTTCACTTATTCACTGCAAAGACCTTAAGCTATCCTAGGATCCATACTGCTTTGTATTAATTACTACAGAATGCGTTCCAGGACACAATAACTTGAGTCATTCAGGTTCTTTGAATACAGGGATGATCTAGTTCCATAGAACTGGAGGCAAGGGAAGATTTGCTACTGTTGGTGGGTGAAGAACATGCTGCACAGATGAGATAAATACCCTCAGGATAGAGCTAGGGCTAATACAGGAGGCAAGCCAGCCCTATGGGTGGGGAAGGTGCTACAGGGGCAGCCAAGGCCCACTGCCCTCAGTGAAAGAGCCAGCCTTTTGCTTGTTAAGCATCTGGAGAACTGTCACATAAAGCATTTAGTCAGCCCCATAAGGAAGCATGAACAAAAAATAGCAAGAGTGATTTACTGCAGTTTTAATTAAGACTCTAGAAAGAAGAGGTAAGATAAAAGCAAATTTTAATAAGCCAAGGAAAACTGCTGTGAAGGAAACCTGGTAGGAAGTGCATCAGTTCTTCCCTTGACTACAGCAGGAGGTAACAGAATGCGTGTTGTGAATCAGAGCAGGGGTGTCCACACAGCCCCTGGGGCTGGGACATGAGCCATTAGCGGTTGCTGAGGAGGAATGCAAGAACAAGAGAGATCTGGAGGGTAATGCACTGCAGTATGATGGTTTGTACTGCTTGCAGCTCATTAACTTTGAAAAGGATGTGAGGTCTTCATTAGTTACACAGCCTCTGTCAATTTTTCTTTGATCAATTTGTCCAGTTGCCTTTCAAGCCAACACACCTTTTACCAGCCATAGTACTTTGTGTTACTGAAATGGGAAGAGCTGCCTCATCTTTAGATTTGGGCTGGCCAGCTGAGAGTTTAACACCCACTGATAAGGCAGCAAATAAAACTGCCCCTGATATCCATGCTCGTAACAGAGGCCAAGCCTGTTCCCTCCTTTTACCTTGCTCCTGCTTCTCTTATGGGAACAGCTTTGCTCCTGTATAGCATTTCACATTAAAAATATTCTCTCAAATCCTAGTTCAACATGTCTTCAAATTTCCTTCTTTCAACTGCAAAATTGCCATATCACTGACTTCCCATGGGGATGTGTTGGCAGGACAGTTAAAAGAAAAGCCAAACCACTAAATGTTCTTTTCTGCTTGAAGTCTGAGGGCAATAGGAAAACTGCAACTACTTTCAGCTTAGACAAAAACCCAACAGAGTAACATCATTTGAGTAGTTTAATTACATTACCTCATGCTGAGCAAGTAACAACACATAGAAATTAAATTACTAATCAACTACTTCAGCATTTAAAAGGATAGAAGAACTCTTGAAGTGGCTTATTATTGAAAGCATAAAATCCTCAAGAGATGAACAGACCTGGATCCTGCTATGGAGGCTGCTGTGCTGCTTCCATGAAGCAACAGGGAATTGGCTGTTTCCAACACACTGTGTTTTCTACAACAGCAAAAGCCAGGAATTCTGTTTCTGCCTGTCTCCCTTCTTAGGCCCTCAGCCACTTTTTCCATACTGCTTTCTAGTCCTGCAGGAACTTCCTATTAGTTACAAGTTGTGATGTTAGCATAGAGACCTTTGTGAAAAGAGATTATGAAATGATTCAGACAACACCAAACTAAAGCATCAATCTTTATTTATAAAGTAAATTACAAAATAGATAAGGTAAACTTAGTTAATTTTAGCATCTGAAGGTGGTCTTCATTGAATACACAGACACTGTAGATCAATGCGTTTATCCAAGTAATGGAGCAATTATTGCCTTGATTAGTTTTGCAAACCTCTGACAGGAGTGTTTTAAAAGATCAAGTTCTCCCTACTTTGCCACATAAATTTTTCAAACAATAATTACCTGTCATGTTAATTAACTATTTAATAGCTTGTGAGTTAACTGCAAGCAGCTGCATTGCTTTTGGGCGTTATGAAGGCCAACAACAGTTTGAATGGACATTTTCAATTATTTCATGACAAGAGACAGTTAAAGGAATAACTTCCATTAATGCCCTCATTTTGTGCTGGCTCTGAACATTCATTAACAGCAGTAGTGTTATGTGAGGCAACTACACAGATGTAAACGTGACAGATCTTACAAAAAGATTGGATGCTCCTTATTGCTTATTGTCAGGAGAAGAGCTACAAGAGGCCTGGAGAGGCAGTTGGTAGTGCAAGACTCTATACAATTCTCTTTTAGGGGAAATACACTCGGGACATGACTCTGCAGGGTGGTCAGGGGCTTGTACACCCACATCAAATAATTTCAAGTAAGGTAACTTGCAGTGCCTGGTTGGGGCTGAACTCTATAGCAGCCCATGATAAATGCCCTCACAGAATCACTTAACCAGTTCTCATCATCCTCCATATTAAGTTTTCTACCTCCTATCCTCATCTGTCTGGGACAGGACTAGAAAAAAAAAACCAAACAAAACCCAAACACAACATGCACGTTACCATGGCAGGTCAAACTGTTCATTGTTTAAAACATTTGGTATTAAAAAGCTGAACTTCTTTACTGGCTCAAATAAGTGTAAAAACATATGTGCACTGTTGGCATGGCTGACACAGGCAGGAATACTAAATTCAAACAGAAAACCCTGGAGCAGCAATTTTTTAAGTGCTGCACTCAAAGGTTTTCCTTAAAAAACCCCAAACCCCAAAATGAGTTAGGTGTGCTGAAAAGATTCAGAGTTCAACTACAAATACATTTAATTACAGCGTACAATAAGCTGCACGCACATTACCATGTTTATTAAACAATGACACTTGCCTGACAGGTAGCACACAGAAGAAACACTTCAAAGGCCTAGAGGGAGAAGGCAAGAGGCAGAAAAAGAACATGGTAGCCTAGGGCGAGCAAGAGATTAGCTGAGGAGCCAAAGCTATTGAAGTGGATTGATGTAATGTGTAAGATTAAATGAAAATAACCGAGGTGTCAGATTTCTACTGCATATAAAAGAACCACAGTAAAACCAACAACTACTGCAATCTTCACATTATATAGTGCAATCTCTGACATCAATAACAAGCTAGTATCTCCAAATAAAATAATACATAAAGATAAAACAGATTTCACCAGGAACTAGTAGTGTCAAAGAATTATTTCCCTAAAAAAACTAGGTTCAAATCTATCTCCCAGCAAGCAAACGTGATTCCGCTATATAATGTGTACACCCTGCACCTATGACAATATGCAGCAAATCAAGACTTGCAACTCCCATGTAGCTTAGAAAAAAAAAATTCAAACCTCACAAAGCTCACATGCAAGACACTAAAAAGCAAGTCCCCACTGGGGAATACAACCTATCCACTAGTATTTGTCTCATTGAATGATTTTAAATATTTAAGGTCACCCAATACTTGACTTCCACATATAATTCTTGAATCCACTTATTAAAATAATCTGTTTTCCCTCTTTCTATCAAAGACATTACTCATGGTTGAATCAAGTTTAGACTATTCTGGGTGATTTTAGTATTTTAGAGAAGGGAAGGGTTAAAAAAATAGAAAACAAAAGACAAAATCCTAAGCAGGTGCTGCCAGCAGTTATTCAAGACCTAGCTGGATTTTGTTACAGATTTAAGTTACTACTAAAGTTCAAACGTTTAGGAAAAGTAATTTTCAGTATACTTTGAAGGCTAAAACTGCAGTTGATGTTGCAAATGCATGAGGATCTCAAGAATAACTCACCATTCTGAAGCAAGTTATTTCTATTTTTACTGAATTCTATACAGTTTTAGACCCAAGTGCACAGATAATCAATTATTTATTAGAAACTTTAAGCATATTGCTTTGAAAGCAGTTCCACAATCTACTGAGTATACTAACTCATGCACTTTTAATCACCCTTCCCTTGGTCATTCAGTACTTACTATGTAAGGCCTATGAGTGGTACAGAAGCCTGGAAAAGCTCTAGTGGTTCTATGTCAGAATTCTTTAAAAGACAGTTCCATGAGATTAGTTATAAATTTAACATGACCATGCTTTCATGTGGGAAAATACCCAGCTATTCCTGAGCACAGATATTAATTGATGGGTAACTAATTTTAGTTTATCTTTTGTATTACCAAAAAACCAAACCAACAACAAAACCCAACAATGCATCATGTCAAAACCAGAAGAAAACCTTCTAATGTACTAAGAGCTACAAGGATAAATAAAGATTTATATAGGACAATGCTATATAATCCTTCAGCTCCTCTCACATGGAAAGGGTTACAGGTTTCCATAGGCTACTCACAAGAACCCACACAGACATCTGCAACTGACCCACAGGAGAGATGAGCTTCATAGTCTTCTGTGTGCAGAATTTATGATCACAGGTATTAAATAATGGATTCTAATCTAAAATAAAGGGGTACTAGCTTAGTTTTCCTCTTCTAGCTTTAGAACAATTAGGTCTTCCGCATGTCATGAAACATGGTCAAATATAATCATGTAACAATATAAAAAGTGTTGAGGTCAGAGAAGAGTAAAAAGAGCCTTTTTTGTTTGTTTTCTAGCATCTATGAATGGAATGATTTCAGTTCATTACCCAAAGCCAGAATTTCATTTCTCACTGCAATACTTAATACTAAACAGCAGTTTCTAATCACTAGGTGTTTCAGTCTCTGCTGGACCTCTAATCAGTCTTCGTATTCCCCTCTTCCCCGCAGGACCTTTTGGTTTAGCAAAACTTTGTTTGTAAGCATGTTGTTTTGGATGAACCTCTTCGTACAGGAAGTCGGCAGTTAACTCATCACCATTATCTATTTCAATCTGGGAAAGAAAACAAACCAAACAATGTTTATCATATTCATCTTAAAGACATATTTAAAAACATTTCAGTATTTTGCTGAACCTCTAAATGCTGTATTAAAACCATATGTCCAATAATGATCAGAGTGAAATGTTCTCCAACTTGTGCCTAATGCCCTGAGGAATCCCAAATAGTTTTTCTAGGAATCCGCTATACTCTCACCAGTATTCAGTGTGATTCAACTTACATATATTTTCCTGAAATACAAGTGCAGCATATGCCAAGAAACTTCCTCTGCCCCGAGCTTTAGCACTGTGTACATGTTAATACTAACTAGGAGTATACATTCCACCTGGAAACACGTGCTTATTTACTTACTTCTAAAGTAACTTCCTTAATAAAAGAAAGCAGCGTGAGGATCATTAGAATTACAATTTCCTTTCTTTATTCTCCCCTCTAAAATAAAACCTCTTCATTGTCCCAGTGTAATCTTCACATTTTAACATTTATTTTTTTTCCCCACTAAAACGTGCTTAAACACGTATTGTAAAAGCAATGTGCACACATACTGTTGTCTCTTGAGACAGAAGGGGAGGAGTACAAACAGCTTACACAATTAGCTGGCTACTGCAACTCGGCAACCGTTCAAGCCAGGGAGAAGCTAAAATATGTTTAATGACCAAAAGCAGAGGTTGCTTTGGTTTTTAAAATTTAAGCATAGAATCCTTAATGGAAAAGCTGTTCCCAAGCCAAATCCCACTGCTCTGAATTGCAGGAATTTGAAATTCAGAGAAAAGCTTTGGCCCTGCTCTCCTATGCATTCAACGCTTCGCGACCTGCCAACCATAGCACTTGCCAGGCACAGGATTGCTGTTACAAGCACACACTACAGAAAAATGTCTACAGGAATCTCAGAAGTCACATGGTGCATTTATTTCATTGTAGGAAGGAAATTTCTGAGAAATGATTACATATAAAACCACATAATCTACTTAATTCATGTCACCTCAGTAAAAATAGTCACTATTAACTCTGCTGTTTTTCAGGTATATATTACAATAGATAATTTCAGGTAGACTATTATAATCCCCACAGAAACCCAGCCTCAAAGATTTTCTAAATGTAGAGCACCATTGTTAAGAATGCAACCAGAGGTCACATATTCCACAAATGGACCATTCCTACAGTGTCTGCTCCGGAGGTGAGGAGCAAATTATTGCATAGTAGTAAAACCTATTCAACGTGAAAAGATCGGCTTACTTTTAAGTTCCAGAACTGCAACTTGATACTATTTTGAAAATCCTTAAATAACCTTTGCTTTAAAGAATTCAGCGTTCAACAACAGCAATGAGGTCCAAAATAGAACAGGCCTTTTACTAAGGAATCATGTTAGCTCTAAATAGTCCTTCAAAGTACCCTCAGATGCTCCCTTGATGCACAAGGATATGTTTGCTAAAGCTGTGAAAGTGTAGAAGTTACAAAACGAAGGAAATCTTCCACGATTTAACTTTGTATCTGGAGTTTTATCAGTAAGTATTTGTCATTCAGGACAAACTTGAACAGTTACACAGAACTTTCCCTTGTTTAGATAAGGTGGTGGCAAAGTTATAGTCAGATACTAAGAAGTGAACAGAGGGAAGGAGAAAATACCAGTATACGCGCTGTACTTACCTTTCTAATTATCTGCATCCACAACTGTCTTTCTACAATTTCTAACAGTGGACTTTTGCAACTAGAGTAGAGCATTCGTTCTCGTATACTACAGGTATACCCTGGCATTGAGTAGATGAAAACTGCAGAGAAAAAAAAAACAACCCACAAATCAGACCATAACTATACTCCATCAAAACCTGTATCAGAAAATCATTTACAGCAGAGGCGTTGCAAATCAACTATACAGTCTGAAAGGGAAAAGTTGTAACACTATTCTGGATCTTTCTTTGCTTCAGCAAGTGTTTCATTTCAAATGAGGGATGAGAGAATGGCCACTTGTTTTGACATGAAGACTATCAAAAGGGATAGCTCTCGACTTTCTAAACACAAGGACTCCTCAGAAGTCAGTTTCACAACCAATTGCCTCTGAAATTTATGACCATGCTGACAAGATAGATTACTTCTATGACACATCCTTCTGCTTCAAAATTACTACAGTATGTGAAACAAGCTAATGAAATTTCGTATTGTGAAATTTTCTCATACCTATGGATTCCAAATAGTCTCCTTCATGGGCATGCTTATACAGGAAAAAGTGGTAACGCGCAGCATCCTTTGGAATTCTTTTTGGCAATTCCTTCAGTTCAGTATGAAGTGTGTTGGCCAAAATAATAGTTTCATTTTTCATATCAATTTGCTGTTAACAAAGCAAACCTGAATATAGTTAAGACACAGAAAGCAAGCCAGAGAACATGACAGAATGGGAAAAAAATATTAATCTAATACAGACTGGTAATTTATCAGTGTGTCACCAGCACACACTGGTTAATGTGCGGGTAATCTTTTATACTCACTATTAAATAAAGTGTTTTATACTTGCCAGTTGTACATAATTGATTTTCTTATTTTTCAATTTCTCCAAAGCCTGAATAGCTTCTTTAGCAATAGGGAATGCTACTCCTTGCAATGTCTGATGCTTGGTATCTATACCAACGTCCGTCTGTACCTGGAACACAGGTCAATGGCGATGTGAACAGAAACCTTCACAAGCATTCATTGGGTTTCATATAATAACTGACAATGCATTGCATATGGTTTATACACAGAGTTAGCGATAGCTATTCTGAGAACAAACTACCCTAAACATCATCCCCCTATGCAACAGATTTGCACTTGTTAATGTACAGGTCATGTTTGCTTGCTAACCTGAAAACACTTTCAGATCTCTGAAACAGCTTGTCGTGGTTTAAACCCAGTCAGGTAATTCGTTCGCTCACTTCCCCCCCTTTTCTTGCCCTCCCCCTGCTCTCGGAGGGACGGAGAGGAGAATCGAAAAGAATGCAACTCCCACGGGTTGAGATAAGAACAGTTTAGTAACTAAGGTATAACACAAATCACTACTGCTACCACCAGTGATAATAATGATAAAGGAAATAACAAGGGAAGAGAATACATCATCTCACCACCAGCCGACCGATAACTCGCCCCCCCAGCCCGACCAAGCTCTGACCGATACCTCCTCCAACCCTGCAGTCTCCCAGCCCTTCCGGCTAACTCCCAGTTGCATCCTGGGCATGACGTGCTGTGGTATGGAATACCTCTTTGGTCAGTTTGGGTCAGGTGTCCTGCCTCTGCTTCCTCCTGGCTTCCCCTCCTCCCTGGCAGAGCATGAGGCTCACAAAGTCCTTGGCCAAACCAAAACATCCTTGTTATCAGCTCTGTTCCCGAGCTGAAAGTCAAAACACTGCATTGCACCAGCTACCAAGAAGGAGAAAAATGACTGCTACTGCTGAACCCAGGACATTATCCACCCCTTATTCCATACCATTCACGTCATGCTCAGATCCCACGTTTTCAATATACCATCATTCTTATCTTAGTGCATGGACCAGTCCCTATAAAGCTGCTGCATCCATCTGGTCCATGATGCCAGGCTCCATCTCTTGTAACAGTCTTCCAGAGCAGGAGAGACTGTGTGCAGTGTTCACACTCGTGAATAACTTGGGCAATAGTGTCCATTGCTAAGTCCACCCCTCGATCATGAGTCCATCTCTATGTTGCATCTCTGCTCGGATGGCCTGAAGTGCCATGGGCCCACCAGGCTCAAAATAATTCACTGTCCCCTTCAGCAGTTTCTGCAGCTTGTTGCTGGGGACTCCACACAGCTGCCTTCCATCTCCGATGCTTCCAAAGCACTGGAGGGGCCCAGTGGACTAGATACTTGCCCATACTGTCCCACACACCCTGCCACTCATGACTGTCCAGCCTTGGGGAAAACCTCTTGGTCCCCCTATATTGTCGTCTAACCCCAGACAAGACCCAAACCTGACTCTGCTTAACTTTTGAGATCAGACAAAATGGTTGTGGGTAGAACACAGCCTGTGTGTGTGCCAACATGCTGATCCCCATCACAATCAGCAGGCAGGTCCCAAGGATGCCCAAAGGCCATTCACAACCTCCAGAACTCTCAGTTGATGCTGCTGTACTTGTCACTGGGGCTGGTGTAGCTGCTGTGCTTGCCGGCTCTCCCACCGCCAGCTTCTCTTTTCCTGAGTCCAGCTCTTCCTCCTCTGCCTTGCTGGGAAGTGCTGCGTGGTCTCCTGCATCCTCCTGGGGCTCGGCGGGCGGCTTCCGGGAAACGCTCTCGGCCGTCGCGGGGCTGGGCTCGGCCGCGGGGCTCGGCTCGGCCGCGGGGCTCGGCTCCTCCGCGGGGCTCGGCTCCTCCGCCGCCTTCTCCCGCTGCTCGGCAGCCCCTTCTTTCTGCTCCTCGACCGCCCCGACCTCCTCCACCGGCAGCCGTCCCCTCGCGGCCTCCGGCCCCGCTCCCGCCGCCGCTTGGTCCCCGGGGCCGCTCTCCCGGGCCGGTTCGGCTGCCGCCGGCTCCCGGGGCCGCTCCCCCTCGGCTCCCCGCAGCCTCACGAAGATGGAGAGTAGGGTGAGGGCCAGGCCGGTGAAGAGCAGCCGGACGGCCAGGTACAAGTCCACGGCCACGTCCGTCCCCCCCTGCTGCTGGAGCCCGCCCGTATTACAAGCCATTGCCATAAAGCACAGTGAGACAAGAACCTTAGCCCAGGCCCCATACTTGATAAACACTATCACAGCAAATACCGGCTCTACGTAAGTTACAACATTCTGAAGCTGCGAGATCAAGCAAAACAACTCTGAGAGCCAATAAATCAGCATTGTGGCGAGTGACTATTAATCCAGTCAAATCTGTAAAACAAACTCAACCCTTCGTGCCCCACGTTGGGCGCCAAAAAGAACTGTCGTGGTTTAAACCCAGTCAGGTAATTCGTTCGCTCACTTCCCCCCCCTTTTCTTGCCCTCCCCCTGCTCCCGGAGCGGAGAGGAGAATCGAAAAGAATGCAACTCCCACGGGTTGAGATAAGAACAGTTTAGTAACTAAGGTATAACACAAATCACTACTGCTACCACCAGTGATAATAATGATAAAGGAAATAACAAGGGAAGAGAATACATCATCTCACCACCAGCCGACCGATAACTCGCCCCCCCCAGCCCGACCAAGCTCTGACCGAACCTCCTCCAACCCTGCAGTCTCCCAGCCCTTCCGGCTAACTCCCAGCATCCTGGGCATGAGTGCTGTGGTATGGAATACCTCTTTGGTCAGTTTGGGTCAGGTGTCCTGTCTCTGCTTCCTCCTGGCTCCCCCTCCTCCCTGGCAGAGCATGAGGCTCACAAAGTCCTTGGCCAAACCAAAACATCCTTGTTATCAGCTCTGTTCCCGAGCTGAAAGTCAAAACACTGCATTGCACCAGCTACCAAGAAGGAGAAAAATGACTGCTACTGCTGAACCCAGGACACAGCTAACTTGGCAGAGCCAACAGAATCAGCAGAAGGAAAACTGGCTCCAGCCTCAATGAAGAATCTCCAAGTTAAATTCCGGTATAGATATAATAAGCCAGGAGGAAACAGCTTGATTTTCTTCTGCTGTGTTAGACTTTTGAACCGACAATACTTCTCCTAAGCTTTGTTGTATCTTTAAAAATTTTAGACCAAAACGTGCAAATATAATTTCTAGGGAATCAAAACTCTCAGAGGAAGAAAGAAATGGTATCTTATAAAACAAACTGATCTCCTTGAAGGAAAAGCAAAGCAACTGCCTTCCCTCCTGCTTCAACACCCTCCCCTTAAAAGCCTGTACCAAAAGGAGAGCAAACAAAACAAATGAATGAAGTTTTAATTTTTGAATTCTAGGTCTAACAAAAAGCAAAAAGTCCAGGGTAACTGCAGGCTAGACAATTGTTCCTAACCCAGCTGTGTTAGCCACAAATGCTGTGAGAAAAGTACAGTTACTGTCAGGCCATTTTGCAAGAATTTATGTTTATCTTAGCATTCATGCATGAGCTCTGGCCTCCAGCTTTCCAAAGTCTAAACTTACTGGCTAAGTATTAGCTTTTGAATATACTGACTTTCTTTTATGATTTTATAAATACATTTAGCACTGGTGATGAAGCAGCAATACTCCACGTGTGTGAAATGGGAAGTGTGGGTCTCAGATCCATTAACTAGATGTTCAGCTTCAATTAGAGATGCTAATGAAATATGAAACAGACTGATAAAAGAATAAAAACCAAAGATACCTGGGGCAACACTAAACCATACTCTACATTTTAAGGAACAGCTTGTCAGCAGCAAGGGAAGAGAAGGAAAAGAAAGCTGGTGGTAGAGCTTACTTTTGTATAAAGATTGACAAATTCATGAAGAAGGTTATAGAAAAAGAATATTTGCAGGATATATCTGCATAAAAGCCTGATTAATAAATACAAGCATCACAAAATAATAAAGTGTAATTAAATACCATACAAGCCATATTAAAATATAAGCAGGAATAAACCCAAACATAAAAAGGAGCTGCGACAGGCAAGGGAAGAGAGTAACCCAGCATAACTCCACAGTTAGGAACATGAACAAAATCCATTTGTCTGTACCGCAACATGTTTCAGACCACTAAAGCAAAAGAAAACCACCAAAGTCACTTAAATATATTTAAACTCACACTATAAGATTTGTTAGTGCTGAGTGGAGGAGAAAATGTAAGATGAAAATTCCTGTGAGTAAGTGTAAAGTAGCGTACACAAGAGGAACAGAGAACCTCTCTTCTCCCTGTGCTGTGATGGAGTTAGCTAGCTACTGCCATCCGGGAACAAGACCTTGCAGGTCACATCGAGTATCTCTGAAAATATAAGCCCAGTGGCAAGTCCTGGCAAAAAAAAGAAGCCAAACAAACCCCCAAAAAACCCAACCACCCACAAGTGAAAGTTTAGGAATTCCTAGAAAAAGAGTAGAGAACAAAACACATTGTTACGCACTGTAGGTACCAGTAACATGCCTGCATCTTGAATACCACATGCAGTTCTTGCTTCCCCATCCCTTCATCTCATAAATTAAATAGTAGAACTGGAAAATCACAGAGAAAAGCAAAAGGATCAGAATTATGGAGAGCCTTCTTTAGGAGGAAGAACTATCTGGATTAGGACTTTTCAGCCTGGAGATACCTGATCAGGAATACAACAGAGGTCCATGGGTATAGAATCATTCAATATTGGAAGGGACCTTCAAAGGTCACCTAGTCCAACCCCCCTGCAATGAGCAGGGACATCTTCAACTAGATCAGGTTGATCAGAACCACATCCAGCCTGGCCTTGAATGTTTACAGGGATGAGGCATCTACTGTCTCTATGGGCAACATGTTCCAGTGTTCCACCACCCTCACAGTAAAAAATTCTTCCTTATATCTAGTCTAAATTTACCCTTGTCTAATTTAAAACCATTATCCCGTGTCCTAGCACTACAGGCACTGCTAAAAAGTCTGTTCCCATCTTTCTTATAAGCCCCCCTTAAGTACAGAAAGTTATAATCAGGTCTCCCCAGAGCCTTCTCTTCTCCAGGCTGAACAACCCCAACTCTCAGCCCATCTTCACAGGAGAGGTACTCCAGCTCTCTCAGCATTTTCTGGTCTCCTCTGGACCCTCTCCAACAGGTCCATGGTTTTCTTGTAGTAAGGACTCGAGAGCTGCACACAGTTCTCCAGGAGGGGTCTCACCAGAGCAGAGTAAAGGGCGAGAATCACCTCCCTCAGCCTGCTGACCACAATTCTTTTGATGCAGCCTGGGATACAGCTGACTTCTGGAATACAGCTGACTTTACCAAAGGGGAGGAGGAAACAGGAATGACTTACTGACTTTTCTTTGCCTTCCCTAAACAATCTGTAGGGATATCAGACTAAATAGTAGATAGCAGGCAGTGGTTCTTTACGTAGTACTTTGTCAAGCTGTGGAATATACCGCCAACAAAAACTTCATGTGGATTTAGAAAAAAAGTAATGGATGAAAACCCTATTAAGAACAATTATATAGTAAGATGTCATCTCTTGCTCAGGCAGATCCCTACCTGCAAATGCTGAGGCAACAGAAGAGTATTATAGGGATTATAGCCATCTTGCCCTGCTTTTACACCCTTCCTAGATTTCTGCTGTTGTTCACTCAGGGACATGACAGCAAATGAGGTGATGCTTTGATCTGAGCCAGTAAAATATTTCTTAGGGTAATTGTGAAAGAACACATATATGGAAAACTTTTTTGTTTTAGATCAGAAAGTTTTTAGCTCCCCAAGTCTAATTACAGGCTTCATAATGGTGGAAACAATGAAGACATACACTGACTTAGGTCATTTCTTGCAAGATGCTTCAAACAAAGCCCAGTTTATGTATCTCTGAAAAGTGCAGCTACTGCTACTGAAGTTTCATAACAGCACATAATGCTAATACCACAAGTGATCATTGGTTTGGTGAAGGTTTACATTCATTACTCTTTGGGGGTTTTTTTGAAGTTGTTCAAGTAAAATGCAGTGTGTGGTGATGCTGAACGCATTTCTACACTGTGTGAAAACAGACATGGAAAAAGCAAGACACCATTGGGGGGGGGGAACCAAAGAACAACAAAATTGCAGCAAAAGCACAGTAGAGTGAAAATGTAAGAGAAGATACAGAGCTGCATTTAACAAGATGGCTTGCTGGTATCCAGCTGCAGAAACAAATTATACTTCAAACACGTGTACCACAGCTGTAAGATACAAGCCTGAAGAACTCATAGATCAGCACATGACCTATTTTAATACATGTCTGAACACAGACAGTGATCAGGTGAAGGAAAATGTGAGAAAAGAACTCCTGAAACTTTTTGGTCACTATCTAGCTCACAAACACCAAATCATTTGGTTAAAGGCATTTGTTAGAGGTTTTTCTATAAAGCATTTATAGCAAAAGCAAATCTGTCTCTTAAAGGGACTACCTACTTGTTTTGGATTTCTGTTTTATTTTTATTGGAACTCCATTCACTTCCTCTCAGTCTTAAAGACAAGTGCACTGGTGCTGGAAGCTGAGTACGTTTCCTCTAGGAATAAGGCTGCTGAAATACTCCTGACAATCAAACACTGAACAGTTTCTCTTTTATGTTTTCTCTACAATTTCTGCCACCATGGGAAATGCATGTGGGCAGTCACAGAACGGTTTAAGTTGGAACCTTCTGAGGTCACCTTATCCAACCACCCTGCTCAACCAGGGCCACGTAGAGCCAGTTGCCCAGCTCTCTGTTCAGATGGTTTTTGACTATTTCCAAGATGGAGACTCCACAACCTCTCTGGGCAACCTGTGCCTGTGCTTAGTCACCCTTCACTGTATTAGTCACCCTTCACAATACAGTGATGTTATAAGAATGTTAAGGGCCAAAGCTGCAACAATTAATCTCTGCAGTTGTGAAGCCTCTGACTCAGGCACTAGGCCCTGCAAACTCAGCAAAATCATGTCACTTCAACTCCAGCCACCCTCATCTTGCAGCCTCAGCTCACTGAGGAAAAAATTATAGTCTCATCCACTCAAACTTTCAGTCACTGTCCACTTTCTGTTCTGCCCTTTTTGCCCTAGAAAGACTTTTTTCCTACAATGTGTTTGGGACTCTGCACCCAGTTTCCCATCCACGCTCAAAGACGTTGTAGGTACCTCATTAATCTTAATTTGTCGAAGTTCCTCTTCTGCTGCAGTCAGAGGTGCAGGGGAGGATTGTGATATCAAATATTTTTTATATCCATTCAGTGAAACATCATCCTGAAAGCACAAAATTAATCATTTTTTGATACTAAAAGTTTTCTTCAAAGATGTGTGCAGTGTTAAAAACGCCCTTACCTCCCATACAGTTGTGGTCATTTTATTTGAATGGATTACAAGTGTAGGTGCATCTGCAAGTTCAGCTCATTTTCTTGCACAGCAGGGCCCACTGGGCTGCTCTTGTACCTAATTATACTGTGGGCAGCATTTCCACAGTCAGTCCCCAATTACTTTGCTAATTCAAAAACTCCCATTAATGAAGCTATTCAGCCTTCTTGGACAAAACCCCACAGAACTGCCACAATTTAGTAAGTATCTAAAAAATGCATCTATTTTCTTATAAGATCTGAACATTCAGACTGGCAGCTTATTGGTAGTTTTTGACCTAAAAATGTGAGACAGAAATGCTACCTTAGGACAGAGAGTAAGCACATGATAACTGCCAATAATTTAGGATGCAACATCACAGAAGTGATGAATTCTGATAAGCTGATAAGCACTTTACTGAACTCATTAATACTCAGTGTCAGCCCTGGTCTTCTCCAAAGAGATTGATACCAGAGGCAAATACTGCTGCAGTTTTACTATTAAGGTGGTCAATCAGAAAAGGGCAGTACTTAATGTAACCATATGAATGTGATTTTATACTCAAGTTCTGAAGAGAAGGAGAAGGCTCCTTCTTGGCTCTTCCCCTTCTGGAAGAGGCAGACCTTCCCAAATACAATTTCCAGTGCCAATATTCCATCATGCCTTGTTTCAGGAGCCCAGAGGTATACAGGTTAATACATGTGAAGTAGCAGAGGGAACCACAACCAGGTTCCACAAGGATAACATCTGGCTGCAACTGAACTATCCAGGTGCCTAACAAAATACAGAGTAACGCACTGGATGCTGGTAAAGATTCTGAGTGGCATTTGCACCTTGGATACCTTGAAGAAGCTGTGATTTTTACACAGATGAACATTAGAAGCCAGCTACAATTAACAAGGTTTCAAAGACATACAAACGAACCAACATAGACATATATTCAACTGTAACATAATGACCTTGGAAAAAGTGAGTTACATTGAATCTATGCTCTTAAGTGCCCCAGGCACATTCTAAACTAACAATAACAGACAAATGCAATGCTCCTTCCTTACAATTTAAATAGAAGCTTAGACTTGGGCTCCGAGTTGTAGGGCTAGATACAAGTTCTACATATTATATAGACTCCTAATAGTTTGGTGCAAGTGAACAAGAAAAAATAATAACATGACCCCTACCAATAAACGTTCTTAGCAAATCAGCTACCTACTTCTCTAGAGTATCTCAGCCTCTCCAGAGAGGTTTGTTAGCATGTTTGTTTGGACAATGAAGCCTCCATCATAGGTTAATGCTGACTATAAAAAATTATTTACTCAGCAGTGGAGTTAGCCTCATATCCTTATGGATTTGTATGTTCATCACAACAGCCCATGTCTCTTTCACGCACACACCCACCCCCAACAGTATTCTTTCCCATATCTCCAACTCCTCCTCTTCCTTTAGCACCAGCTCCCTGTGCCAGTAATGGTGGTGCTTTAGTTCAGATTTGTGCATATGAGGAACTAATTAACAGGCCAAACTGAAGATAACTGCTGCAGTCTCTCCATCTTTGCTGAAGAAAAAGGTAATGATAATTTGGATCTCTACGTAATCACCTGTTTTCATGAAAGCTATAGGAATTCTGTATTTTTGAGAACTCTAACTTGTACGTTTTTAAAACTGGCAATTATAAAGACCATCTCATGTCTCCCTGACAAACAGGCAGACATCACAAAGACTTATTTCCCAAAGAAACCTTAATCAAAACAGAGCAGAAACACCACAAACTCATACCAGTAACATCAACTACTATATTTAGTGTCTAAAGTCAGTCTGCTGACTATCAAAAGAAAAACATACCTGTACTGTTCCAAATACTTCATCCTTAATGTGACCACCTCCAAATTCTTTCTTAAGTGTTGCTCGGGTTGCTGCATACAACATTTTTTGACGAACCTAGCATATAACAAAACAGTGCTGGTTTGGTTTGGGTTCTTTTGGGTTTTCTTCTTTGGTGTACACAGAAAACCTAACATGTTGGTGTACCAAGTCCATTAACAAACATTTCTCTTGAACAAATAATTTAAGTGTTGAAACTGCATTATGAAGTTGTAATTCATAATAAAGAATAAACTCCATGGAATGAGTTCTGGATCATAATACTAACACATACTATGAAATTCTGAAAGGCATGATGACTATGCATTATTATCAAAGTAATACTAAAACTAAATTGAACCTTTAGTAAGAGTATGAGGGGTTTCTTCTAGCTACTCCAGATAGTTTTTGTTCAATATGGAGTGGAAAAATTACATTTCCTAGGGGTAAAGATCAAATGAAGTTTGCTTCCTATCAGTTTGTGTCTAACATAGTCACTTACTCCTCTCTCAACAGTCCCATCTTCCCACCTTATTCCTGTCATGCCATCCTCACCACAGTACCTCACATCTTCCACCTAACCTCTTCTGTGCACTCCAACTCTTGGTATCTTACTATTTCCCAGCTGCTAGTGAAAGCAGTAAGAATATTGGAAAAGCTTTACTTTCTGTCTTTCCTTATCTCACATTTCCAGAACCTGCATACAGTATCCTAGTTTCTCCTAGAAATCCTTTACTCCAACCTCAGTTCCCTCCCATGTTCTCTAACTACTGACTAACAGTATATTCTGTGGCAGGCCACAGATCCACAGGTGCCAGCTGGGCCGCCAGCAAGCCAAACAGAACAGCTTGGGCTCACACTATAATTTTCTCTCTATAATAACACCCACTGAGATTTCTTTCCTTCCTTCTTTCTTTCTTTCATCCTTCTATGAATTTTCATGAAACACTGACAGAAAGATAGACAAACATGGCAAAAACATTGTCTTCTCTCCTCCAATAAGGCTAGAAATAAGGCTGGATTAGTTGCACGCCCTCTAAACCCACTGAACTCCTCAATCAGCTTCAAGAAAGAGGTTTTCCCAGTTTTCTTGGGGGAAAGTTAGGAGAAGGCTGGGGAATGCTTCATTCCTTGAATCCTCTTCCTTCACATCTAGGATTCAAATCAAATGGCACTGTTGAAAAATCATTAACATGAAATCTCTGATGAACATTACTTACAGGAGAGTGATCAGGTGACCATGCAATGAAGATCCATTCATATCCTTGAGCATTCCGAGAATCTAATCTGTATAATATATAACATGGTTGCTTGTCTTCAAGGAGGGGAAGGACAAAGGAATCATAATCCTTTTCCCATGATCCAATTGGCTGCCTAGAGGATCCCACAACAAGCTGTTCTATAACCAATAACCAAAGCTACAGGTTAGCAACAGTACAGTTAATGCTGTTTTTCAAAATTAGCAATTACAAATAACAATCAGTCACTTCGTCTTTCATAATGATGTCCACAAGAATGGAAGTCAAGAACAGTCAGTATGGAAGCAGATGAATTTCTGCAAAAGCTGTGCATGTTCAAACCCTAACTCACTTTAACCCAGATACAAATAACTGAGAAGTAATGGGCTGGCTGTCTTCAAGTTCTTTGATCTGATGGGATAAGACTGATGCTATATATACACAGAAGAGAAATAAAAACCCTCTTCTCCCAGTTAATTTTTAAATTGGGATACTTAAGTAGAAACAAGATGAGAGTAAGCTTTTAAATTTTAGAATTATTGATGCTCTTGCTATAGCATATTAGTGTTTGTACTCATTGTAAGGAATCAATAACCCAGTTATATAGTGAAAAGAGTTTGGAATTAATATGCTTGCACTAATCACTTTAACTGGACTATGTAAGTAGATAAACCTCTTTCTAACACAGCTTCATAACTGGTCTCTTTAAATGACTGAAGTTGTTTATTATGTATAATTGGCTTAAGTCTGTATAGAATACTTCAGACGAGATTTAATTATGTGAACAGCTGTAGCAGCAAGATTTTCCTCTTATTTATAAATCACATCTCCGCTTCCAAGGGAAAGTAACAGTATGGTGTATTTCAAAACATTTATCAGCTTCCCAATAGACAGCAGCACCCACAACTAAAACAGAAATACCTTGTTTAAAATTAAATCCTACAACAGTCTGAGGACCACCATAGTAGCTAATAAACAAAGTATATTTCGAGAGTCTAGAACCTAACTTGTAAAACTTCAGACAACAGTATACACATGCCTCTACAGAAAGGCACTCTATCACAGCAAGTCACAGAACACAAACATCTCAGGGAGAGGGTGCTGTGCCCTTCTTTGAACTAGTGCAAAGTAGCTAAATTGTACACCTAGACCACAGTACTCAGAATGTACTTGCCACTTCTGAACTCTAGGTGGCTTTATACTCACTGGGTTTAAGATGGAAAAATTCAATCAAAGTAACGCTATTGCCCAGCAGCAAACCTCTTCTCCTACTAACTCAGATTACCAGAACTCAAATTGACAATTATGTTGACTAAGGGCAGTTGCTGAAAGCTCCTGTAGAGAGATGATGTAACCATCCCTCTTCCAGTGTTCTGGGAGTTTTAGAGGTTTATTTCTGAACTGTGAAAATAGTCTCAAAGACTGGATTCTGCTTCTACATAGAGGCAAAATGCATATACATATACAACACAAAAAGGAAAAATAAACGACATGTCTTCCATTTGCATCATTTCTAGGCTTCATTTCATATTACAAAGTAGAATACATACAAAAGCATATTGCTTTACCTTGCCTAATAGGAAAAAAAAAAATTCAGCGCTTTGCCAGCATTTTCTACTTTGTGCTAGTGAGACTTTACCATAGTGACCTGCCTATAATATTACTATTTCTATTTCCTTAAGGAAAACAGTACTAAAACGTCAGAGGACTTTCTAAGAAAAGCAAACACAAGGTTACCTAACAATAGACGTATGTATGTGTATGTATGTTAGTCCAGCTAACATGTATTTCAGTGTACTGTAAGTGCAAGAAATCTACCAAGAACAAAAAACTCAAGGTGGGCATTTGAAATACTTCAAAAGATGGACAAAACCATGAAGTGTCTTATACAGTCAACCATCAGCGCTATCAAAAAAACAAAAAAAAGTAACTATGCATTCTATCTTGCAATGTTTGCATTCTTGATCAATTGCCAAGAATTTCAAAGATCAAACTCAAGTTCTGCAAGAAATTATTAATTTTGCATTTATACAGATACATGAGATTTAAGAAACCCTTTTATCTTGGAAGATTTGTACAAAGTTAGATTTTTTGAAGATACTTTCTATGTAGTCAGATTCCTACTTCAGCATCTGCTTTAACAGAGCTTAACTGAGCTTTCTACATGCAGCAGATCCCAGTATAAAAGGCAAATAATATTTAGACTTCATCTAAAGTGACTAGTTGCTCTGCAAGAATCTCTCTAATGAAAGTAACCAAAGTGCCAAAACACGACACAAGTGTGAATTTTCTTTTCCTTACTTTCTTTAGTGAGAAGATAAGAGTAAGCTCATTCATACTACTCATATAAAATGCACAGCAGTTATGAAATGATAAGAAAACTTCAAATTCAAAAATACAGTAGCATTGTACCAAAAAGCTTAGCATCTTAAGATACACCTTCTGTATATGAAGGACCTTAGCAATATTAAGTTTGGCAAAATTTTCTTTTTTTAAGCAATTGTGCTTGTAGGTCACTAAAGCAACTAGGAAAATATCTACAAGAATCAGAGAAAAAGATTAAAATTTGACTAACCATTGTCAATGACTATTTTTAAAAGCCTGTATTGTCCATTTCTGGCTCCAACAAAGGTGTCTTTAACACTTCCACTAGCTGAAAAACATAAAAGTAACCAAATTAACACATTTCACTTCCTAGGACAAAGAATATTCACAAAGGTAAGAACAACACTGGAAAACTGTACACTGGCCCTTCACTAGAAAGTTGGACTGAAAAGGAACATGGGTGTTATGTTCCCTCTATGCTGCACACTGTTCCTGCCAGGGTCATGCACAAGGAGATGACAGGCGGTATTACAGACCAGCCCTGCTTTCTAGCATACCGTGTGATTTTCAACATTGTGAAAGCTAAAGGTGACATCATATCATCACTCTCCAGTTTCAAAGTTAACACAGCAACACAATAAAAATATGACACATCTCAAATTACAATAAGCTTCATGATGTCTGCAGGCTCAGTACAGGCTTCCAGACAGAACCTTTAAGCCTGCCAGGAAAATGTTAGAGATTGTCTGGCAAAAGTGCCGTTTTTCTCCTGAGGACACCTCTCTGGAGAATACCAGTGAAGGCTGCCACTCAGTGCTTGATTTTTCACATCACATTATCTCCTTGTATGCATCCTGATGACACAGTTCAAATCGTGACCTATCGCAACAGGATACCTTATAATGAATTTACAGAGTAACTAAAACCATTTTTAAAGTCCATAATTCACACTGACATTACACCGCAAACATGGTAAGATTCATTTTCCTAAGCAGACTGAAGACCTGTTCTTGACTCATATGAAGATCATTCCTATCTCACTGCTTTGCTTGATAATCTGGGTGCAAATCAGTTTAATTATACCATAGACAGGGGGTCGTACAGCATTTATGGAAGAACAATTATTGCAAGCTGGTCCTTTAAGTAATCCCACAGCACAGAGCGTAGCACCAGCAAAACAAACACCAAACGAGGAAACAAGTAAAATGGATTATTTATAGTCAGATTGAGGCCAACTGAACAGATGGTCAGATGGTATCCAGCAACACTGCTGCCCATACTCAAAACATTTTAAATATATGTCCATTTAAGTGATGCCCAGGCCCATTCTGAAATTCCACAATGGTGTGTGGGGGAAAGGAGGTGTTAAACAAACTGAACTACACTGGGTTACCAGCCCAGCCGCGGATTCATCCCACTAACCAGTGCAGACCCTCACTGTAACTTGCTGCCAGCTTTTCACATTGTCTCTGCCAGTCCCCACCATTCCATCAGCACACAAACACTGTGTCACTTTCTAGACCTTTCAGTTCCCCCAGGACCTTTTTTGTTGTTGTTGTTGTTGTCCTCTTCTTGTCTATTTTTCTGTTCTTTATTCTCTCATTTCAACCTACACACCAAAAGAAGACAAACACAGCAGCCCCTGCACCAATACCAGAACTGTGACAACTCCTGAAGTAACATTTTGAGACATGACATTAAAGAAACCATCTCACTATCAAGTGAGCTATGGTTTTTTTTTCTCATAAAGGTTTTAAATTCACAATAGTAGTATTTTATATATAAACTTTCTGGAAAGACCTACAGAATTAGAAGTTGGGTTTATTTCACAAATAATTTACAGAGAATATTATTTTTAAATTACTTAAAAGACTATGAACATATTCTAGTGTATTTTCCTACAGCTCAATGCATTCTGCAACTTCCTACGCTATTTATCTGCCCTGGCCTTGTTTGAAAGTCCAATCCTTTGAGCAACTGCCTGGTACATTATCACTGGCTCCATGACTTCATTTCTGTTTCCAGAAGAGAGCAGCCCATGCTGCCAAATCTTGCAATTGTTTATGAGTGACAGTGGACTGTTTGTAGCTAAAGCCAGCCATGGCACAACAAGTGCTATTCCTCTTCCAAATTGCAGAAGCGGATGCTTTGTGCTGCAAACAGGACTTCTGATTAGTGCCTGCAGAGGCAGGATCCATGCAGGAAAGCTGCAGAGTTCTCTACAGCTTTCCTCAGAGGACAAAGATTCTCAAAGACATGAAGGAGAGCAGCAGAAGCAGCTTAACCACTCTTCTTGCTTGTGGTAAGCAACAGGATATTCTTGTGCTCCTCCCTCCAGCTTTGCCAGGAGAACAAGGGAATGAAGAGCCACTGTTAACAGTTTTCTCCAGCCTGGGAAAAAAGCTATCCCAGGTGCACCTCTAGCCTGAGAAGCGTTTAACATTTTGAAACAAGGAGCAAAAAACAGCGAAGACTGGCATGCAAGGGATGGAAGAGAAGAGAGGTGAAAGGGTGCAGACCCAATGCAGCTAATGGACAAAAAGGGGAACAGAGAAGCAGTAAAGAGCTGCCGTGTCTAGGACAAAAGTCACCTTCAGTAATAACTATGGGAGAACAGACAAAGTCACTGAACAAGCAGACTGCAGAAATCTGCAAAACCCGACTCCCCCATAATCCTGCAGTATAATCCCTGTTTAGCAATTCAGTGATTCGGGGGGACCTGGTAATGCTGCGAAACAATACTCTGTCTTCTAATTGCTCTTCGCACCCTCCAAAGCGTGGAAACACGGGGGAAAAAAGGTTCCCCCACACCTTCCCCCTTTGCGGCCTCCAGCGACAGGGTTTTTCAGTGGGCTTTCCTACTCCGGGACACACAGTTCTCCTCATGGCTCCCGCTACAACGGACCCGGCAGCGACCCTCGGCATCTCCCGTGCTGTGCAACCCATCCCAAACCGCTGCGGCCACTCCGAGAGGGGCGGGAGGTGACCGCGGAGACCCCGCAGCCCCGGCTCCCCCTGCCACCGCCGCGGGAGAGCCTGCGCCAGGGAAGCCACCTGAGCCAAGGGAAGGGGGGTCTCCTCCCCATGTGTGGCTTTCCGCAGGCAATACTTTCCCCAGGTGGGCTCCCAGCCGCCCGCCGGCGGCCAGGCGCTGACAGCCGCGCGGCTGAACCCCGCAAGTCTCCGCCTGAGTCCCAGCTGAGCGGCGGCCGCTCGGAGCAGGAGCCAGCAGCAGTTTCCCACCCCTCAGCTCGCCTCGCCTCGCCTCCCCGCCACCCCGCGGCGCAGAGGACGGGCTCCTCCAGCACCGAACAAAGACCGCGCCAGGGGACAGAATTCCACCGGGAGCGGCCCGTTAAACCGACCGCCTGCCTCCGCGCCGCGCCTCGCCCCGACCCGCAGGGAAAGGCGCTCCTCCCGCCCACCACCCGGCTGGCAGGGGCACAGGCGGGAAGGAGCCCGGCTGTCCCGGTGGGCACCGCGCTGCGAGTACCTTGGATACCGGTCTGGTGGGACATGTCGCACCGCCGCGCCCCGGGCAGCACCGCCGCCTCACAGCCCGCCCGGCCCGGCCCGGCCCGGCCGCTCTCACGTGATGCGCCGCCGCCACTCAGCGGCCGGGGGGGGAGCGCGGCGCCTTCCGGGACCCGCCGGGCCGGGTAGGGCCGGCCCTGGCTCCCCTCTGCGCTGCTGCTGCCCCCTACAGCGGAGACCCGGTCGGGTCGGGTCGGGTCGGGGCTAGCCGGCCCCAGCGTCCCGCCGCTCTGCTGCTGACCCCGCACAGCTGAGACCCCTCCGGCCCGGGGCTCCCCTCTGTGCCCGCTTCCGCGCCCGCTGGGGGCGTCTCCGGGCTCTTTAAAACAGGGATGGCGTGCAGCCCTCTCCTCTCCTCCGTCCTGTCTGTCGCCTTACCACCTGCCGTCCCACATAGCCGGCCCTGCGCCCGGTCATCCTGGAGAAAGGGGGAAGTGTTGAAAAGGAACTGAGGTGCATTGAGTTATCTCTGGGAGTCTGTTGTGGAGATCTCTCCTTCCAGCTTGGGGCAGCAGGGAAGGAGCCACAGAGTGGGACGCAAGGCTGCCTGTGTGTCCTGTCACTTTTGTATCAAACAGTCACCTGGAAAGCAGCCCAGAACCACGGCTGCTTGAGCTCAAGCCCCTGACAAGGCAATCTTTCTGTGTTAACTTCGTATTATGTGCTACTTGGTGGCACCTGATCAAGAGAAATAGTGAAGATTTCTTCTCTTTCAGCATGGATCTGACAGTTGAGATGCTCTTCTGGGTTGTCAGAAGCAGGTACCTGCTTCTCAGCAAGTGGCCTCTCCACACAGCTGAAGGCTTTTACAACTTTTCTGACAAAGTTTCCATAAACATCTTATTTTAAAGTTCCCAGTGGAAAGTCCCCCATCATGAATGTAAGCATGCCCTGAAGGGAGGTTTGCCACTGCTAACTGTCTTTCACAGGCACGTCTGTGCTGGGGTCTGGATTAGACTACACAAGTGAAACGTTCAGACAAGTGTCAGATATGACAGGGCTGTAGGCACTTAGTGAAATGTCCTGATGCTGAAAATTCCTTCAGAATCCTGGACGTTAAGAAGATGTGTCACTATTCAACCTGAGAGCACAAGAAATGCTGTAACAGGGCATGACAAATATGCCCGGTGGACCAGGCAATAGAAGAGTAAGGCAAGTGCACAGTAATCTTTCCCTGGCTCACCTTCCCAGGCTCCAGAGCACTGAAGCTCTGGAATTTCCGAAGTCAGCTGTGTTGATACATCTGAGTGCCTGTGCTTTGTCAGATCCCTGGTTTAAACAGGTGAGGGATTTGGTGTCCTATTTGGGAAATGTGAAACAGCACCATAACTGCAGTATGTGAGTTGTGCTGTGTAATCCTAGTCTGGCGAATACAAAGTCACTATGGAGACATGTCACCAGCTAGTGAGCTGAGACTCATTGCAAGGACTGCAGCAGCTGGGGAAACAAAGCTGTAGTTTGTCTTTTTCCTAGTCCTGTGCTCTTGGTTCCTCCCCTCTGTTGGTGCTGGTGTTTGTAAAGGATGGATTTGCCCGAAAATTTACAAGGGAATAACAAGTTTTCCTTGGTAGATATATATCCTGAAAAGACAGATTGGTTCCTTGATCCAGTTAGTCATGTGTCCCGAGGAGCACTACTGTTGTCACAATGTGGTAACAAGGGTGTGTAGCTGAGACTGTGGAACTATGCTTTCAGTGGAAACCCATGCTTCAATGGAAATACCATAGCGATATGAGACTATAACGTCTATCACCATATCCAGATCACCTTGACTATCTGAGGTCACATCAATTCCCACTAATCTGCCAGAGGGCTCTGAAGTATGAAAGTGGGATATTAACATCTGCTTCACCTGAAACAAGGCTGGTACACACGGGCATTAATAACTCCTTTTTGGCAAAAAGACAAAGTCTAAATCTTTTTTCTTTAATTTCAATATCACAAATATTTTCTCATATTGCTGTTTGATGTTTGACAAAGAAGAGGCATTGCACAGAAACAAGTGCAAGGAAGTAACAATTCTATGTCTATTGAAGATGCCTAAACTTCTGAATTTTAGTGTTCTTCAGAGTCTTACTAAAATGGTTTTGATTATAAAAGTGCTGTCCAAATCATAAGAGGGTCAGGATAATAATAGGGAGGTTTATTTGTTAGCATATGCATTAAGTAACTTTTTCCTTTTTGTTAGTTATGTTTATTCCTGCACTCGAGTTATTTTTTTTTGAGTATATATTAGGGTTTGTATCCAATTAAGGCTGTGATCGTTTTGGTAGAGGCAGCATATTGCCCTTTTCCAAATTTTAATAAGACTCTTGTAACTGAATGATAAATGAAATTTATAAAAGGAAATATTTTTAGTAGACTTTGCTACAGCATTTTCAATGTGAATTCTGGGTCTTGTTTTCGTTTTGTGTCTTTATTGTCTTTCCCTGTAGATTTACTTCTTCATTGATTTAACAATACTCTTTCACTTATGCTAGTTTATTAAATGCTGTGGTTATAATCTCCATGGAATTCTCAGTTAACTGTCTTCATAGTTCCATAATGGCATGCAAACATTTTCTCCTGCTGTGATGTAGCCAGGAAGGCCTGTCCCAGTTTTGACTATAATTGTCCACCTAACACTGGAAATGCACATATTTATTTACACACAATTTTTATTACTGAAGTCCATAGTTACATTGAGGTGACATTTGCAACATTTTCAACAGCTGAAGAAGGAAAACTTTTTTGCTGGGCAATATTACGACTTCATTGTCTTGCTGTGGATCTCCATTGCCTGTAGATCTCTATCCTGACACTTCAAAGCTTCATCTTACATTATTCTTCTCCCCCATAAGCATGTTCTTCAAAAATAACCATATTTTTATAAGATAATTATAATAGTAGAGAATTTAGTCCATCACAAGATGAATCTTCTTCCATATAGAGTAAGAATGGATATCACTACTTCCTTCAGAAATAAGTGAAAACTTCATTTCTTCAACTCTGTTTGCTTCCAGTAATCTCCATTCCCATACACCCATAGGTAGCTAAAAAAAAAGGACAGAAATGACACTCCTAAAGTTGGATTTGCTTTTAACTTTGAGGTTACGTGTGAAAGTTGTTCCTAGCAAAATGGACTTTGACTTCTGAATATGCCAGTGTTACCTGTTTGTATGTCTCAGTCTATGTAGCTCTATTCAAACAACACACTATGTCCAAGTCAAATAAAAACCATATTTCTTTGTGATGGCTAGAGTTTATGGATAGTCTGTTATTAAGAAGCATTGCTGTAAGAACTCACAACTCCCTTGCCATTATAGTAAGTGTTTTTTATTACAGTGCGGACAGCTCTCACTTTACATTCATCAGCAAGTCTTTATAGCAGTATGAATATATCTCTTAATTTCTTTATGCTTTGAAGTATTTCTGTTCATTTCTTATAAATGGGAAAATAAACCATCGTCTCTTTTAATATTCATAATCTGAGAAGCTTTTCTTTCTGGCTGCTGAAACAGCTGACACAGTAGAGGTAGTCTGTGGATGGCCAGGAACATGCTAGATACACAAGTATTTTAAACTGAATTGCAAGACAGCCGAGTTTGAGGTACTGGGGTTTTCCTAGCCATTGCCATAGATGAAAACAGATTTGCAGCAATAGGTTTTGCTATTTGGAAAGTTGCAGTCAGATGATTCTTTTCACGTTTTGGTAGGCTTTGTTAATAAGAAGCAAATATTGGTAATTCTGTTCTGTTAAATGCTTTCAGACCTTATTAAGGAGTTGATTCTGAAAGCGGTTTGTTGGTATCTTTGTCCATTTCTAGCCCATATTCTGATCTGGTAAATCTGCAGATAGACACTAGACATGGAATCTCTATGTTCTCTATGCACAGCATAATAAGCAATACGATGATCAGATTGTTTCATGCTCTCAGTGATTTTAAAATTACAACATTTCTTAAGTGTTGTTTGTTATTTCATGTACTTACTCTAATAGCAGTGGTTAGCTAACATGTTAATACCGCTGCAAAATCATTGTGCAAAATGACATCATCGTTTCAGCCGCTCTTTTCAGATTTTCTGTTCTGCCTCCATGGTTTGTTATTTTAATATAGTTCTGAATTGTGACTGGTACCTCTGTGGTTCTTGATTTTTGCTTTTTCTCTTTAGTGGGAAATATTAAAACCTACGTTTGCTTTGCCAGTTATTGATGACAAGATTCAAGATGTTTCCTTGTGTGCAGAGCACACAAGAACTTTTTTAGGAATCATATTACATGATGTTCAAGCGATTCTTGGGTCAGAGAAAACAAGAAAAACTTTGTAAAACCTGGACAGCTCCCTTAGGCCTTTGAAATAGATTTATATGTCACAATTGCCATTTTAAGCTATCACGACTAAGCTAGTGCATATGTGCCGCCTTATCAGACTATCGTACACCTGATCATAAATACTAAGACTTAAACTTTGACTGTATTCTAAGGGAAGACTCTACAGAAAACAGAAGCAGGACATGATCTCCTCCAGTAGGGTGAGTGGCTAAAGAGATATACTAATTACTTATAGCAAGGTATATTAAATTGCTGTAGCCCAGATTGAAAGTGGTACCAAAGCAGTAACTGAAGTCAGATTGTTATCTTCATTCAACAGGAATGAAGTCTTGCCACCAAGAAGAAGCTCCACTTAAATAACACTTCTATTAAAAATGAACATCTTGTATCAGAAAAAAAAAAAAAAAAACAAAAACATAAAGGAAAACATGAGCTGCTGTTTGTGTTCATGTAAAACCTTCCTCTGGATCTCAGTCTACAAAATTGTTCCAATATCCACTTATTTTTTAAGAGACTGGATACATTTGATGTCTTTCGGCAGCCCCTCCTTTGACGTTTTCATGCCAATTATGCCTATTCCACCTTCCACTCCACTGGATTTACTAGCTATTTCTTGATGAGAAAGAAAATGTGCCTGGGACTGTCTCAGCCCCATTGGATAGTCATACTGACAGCCCAGCACATAGTGACTGTAGAAGAACCACTTTAAGAAAGCTAGTGAGTC